TATTATAAATTAATTTATTATTATTGTTATTTTTATTTACATGCTTCACTTTCTCAGACTTCTGGATTAGCATCCACTCCTCATAAATGACTCAAGGGAATGTAGATCAACGTAAAAAAAAATTACTTAACTTACTCTGTTTATATTTTAATGTTCTTACCGTTTATAATTTTAATAAGCTTATTCACATTGTTTATAATTTTTTGTCTAAATATTAGGTAACTTCCACAATTCTCTGTATCTTTTCCGTTCTAGCCCTGAGGGAGACCTGCAAAGTCGGGTCGAGACGTTTGCTTTTAATAAAATAGTTTTGCCGCTATTTAGCCTATTTATGACCGCCACCCCGGACCATCTCCTTCCTTTATGATGCAACGGCCAGCTATTAAATATTCAATAAAAGAAATTAATTATTTAGTAATTTTCAAACAATTCTGCAGGTATCGGTCAGGACTGCTTTTTGTGCTGCTCTTTTTTCTTTTTCTTTTTTTTTTTTTTGTGGCTTTATGCCTGAGCATATTAGCCAAATTGTGCTGCTCTTAAATCCGCCAAATTAAGTCCAACGTTCTTTTTACTTTCTATGTTGCTTTTCAGAATGAGACTATTTGAAGAGATGATTATTGGGTTATTTTTGCTTTTTCAAAATGATCCAACGTTTCCGACTCGAAGGCAAGTTCTTGATATTTACGATTTTTTTCAACTCTGGTGGCTATATGTTTGAATCACAGAGTACTGCTATAGCTAAGATTGTTCCAGTTTTATTTGTTTTGTTCATAATCAAGATATCTGGGCGGTTCAGCAGTACCCTACAGTCCGTTATTAAGTTTTCATCCAAAAAAACTTTGATATATCTATTTTCTTCAAGTTTTTCAGGGGTATAACAGTAGTATAGTAACTCATATTCTGCATATAACTATAGTGGTATATTTTTGCAACATTATTATGCCTCATCAGATAATCCATACCAAGCTAATTATCGCAGCCATTGGTTACATGCTGGATAGATTGGTGGGTCTTAGGGCAAAGCCGACATTTATCCGTGATCAAGTTTTCTTTTAGTATATGTTTTCTGTAAGCTCTTGTTGCGATAACTTGATCTTGAATAGCTATAGAAAATCCCTCGGTCTCGCCATATATTTGTCCAGTCTTTAACCATTCTACTGAGAAGTTAGTACCAATCTCAGCCTCACGTAATGCGTAATAAAATCTGCCATGCAATGCCTTCTTCTTTCATATGGTTTTGTAATAGTCGACATTTCTCTCTTCCGGTCGAGTTGGATCGCCGAAATCCAGGGCAGTGTAACCTTCATCTAATTACTTCATCCAGGTGATGATTGGAGACACATTTGTCATAAAGTATTCCTTCAAAGAGTTTTCTTGTTCTCAACAAGAGTCCCCAATCGCAATTAGGCCACGGCCTCCTTCTTTCCTTGGCAAATAGAGCCTTGCCCCTTTTGCCTTTGGGTGATGAATCTTAGCATGTATCATCATTGTACGCACCAGGCGGTCCATTTATTGAAGTTTTGTAGTTGACCATTTTATTAAACCAAAACTGTATGCTACCAATGGTATTGCCCATGTATTAATGGCATGGATTTTGTTTTTACCATTTAAATGACTTCTGAGAATCTGAACCAGCCTTCTCCTTAGCTTGTTAGTTATTTCACAAAGTACCACTTTCTTGGCTATCTAAATAGCTTGCTCAATACCTAGGTACTTATAAAATTCTCCTGCAGACTGATGTCTCATGATCTCTCATGAAGGAAGCTGCAAGGAAGGAACATTGAGTGTGGTAACCTTTTCGAGACCGAGCGACAAACAGATTGAATTACTGAACTTGTGACAATAAGTTCCATCTTGCATTGTAACTGGTCCTTATTTTTTGTATATAACTTGAGGTCTTCCATATAGAGACTGTCACTAATGGTGGATCTTTGGTTATCTATTTTTAGCTGGTATCCAAGCTTGCTGCTTCTGAGGATATGACGTAATGGTGCTCGAGCTAAGGAAAACCATAGTGGACTTAGAGAATAATCCTGGTAATAAATAATTATTATTATTATTAATTTAGTATTAACATTAATAAATTGATACTTTGTGACAAATGTTCTCAAAAAACAAAATTATCATTAGAAACCTGAAAAATAAAAAAAATTAAATTCCTTAATCATCAAATAATAATTTTTATTATTATTACAAGAATTGTGATCTACAATAATCTCATTTTTTATGTGATCACGAGCCTATTACCTACCTACTGGTCTTGTCACTATAAAGTGTCATGGATCTCAAAACAGAGCTCATTCTGCATACATTAATCAGTTGATAATGTTATTTATTTATATTATTATTTAAAGCTTTTAAAATAAATCAACCAAAAACACATGTTTGGGCACACTGCAGCTCAAACCTAAAATATTTTTATGATCTACCTTCCACATTAATATTCATAACAGTATTCTATATTTTATAAGTTTTTTGCAATTACACTTCCTTAAAAAAAATAAATAAAAATACCCCGAATGTGAAAAAGCTGAATAAGGCTCCTAGATGTTTTGTTATATTATTTTATTAAATGATAAATGGGAATAAATTATATAACAAAAGGAGTAAATATGTGTTATCAAGAATTTATCTGATGATGCCCCAAAAATCAAACACTTAAATATGTTTTCTAAACTAATAAAATATACTTATGAAGGATATAATAGGAAGTTATGTAAATATTTATTTTAAAGTATTTTTGAAAAATGGTATATCTTTCTATTAAATCTGAGGAATAATATTAAATATTATAGAACTTTAAACATTATCAATTTCTAATAAGTGAATATCAAATATATTAAAAGACAGATCAAAAATAAATCATCAATAAAAAATATTTTTAAAAAATGTATTCATCAAGAAAAGAAAAGTGTTTTATGAGATGTTTTCCTTTGGATGATATTTGTCTATATTAATTATATTAGCTAGAAGGCAAGAAAATGAGATACCAACCAATACTTTCTCGCTATGATCAATAAAAGTGTTATGGGCTTACTGTTATTGTGATAAAATGATTTTAAACACCTCATATTTAATTTTTTTTTTTTTTTTATGTTGGATTTACAGACCTTGTGGATCTTTAGACCACCTCTGCATATCTTGGGCAATTGCTTTCCAATTGTCTTCAAGCAACTCAGGAGCATCTTTATTAATTCGATCTATTCATCTGGTTTTGGGCCTCCCAAGTGGTTTCTTGTCAACTATTAAGGAATTGATTGTTGTGTAGAGGCTTCCTTATAGATTTCCTTCTTATCATGAGATATTGATTGACTAGTTTTTCTAAACAATTCATTATTGCTCCTTCTACATGTGCGAGTACCCAAATCCCGATTATTTGGAGTTATTGTACAGAGGATTACATATTTCTATCTTGGGTGCTGGGGGAGATTCTGTTTTTGGTGAGAAATTCTCTTTCTGTCATATATTCTGTTTCATCCTTATTTACTTGAAGGCCAATATTCTTTACTTCTCTGATCAGAGCTCAATTCCCTCGGGTTTGCTTCCAAAGACTACTATATTATCTGCATATCGAAAGTTTTTATGCCCCCCCCTTCATTTTTACGTGATGTTCTTATCACATTCTCCAGTTTAGCAAGAGTTCATCTCTGGTACACACCATTTGAAAGGCTTCAGATATCTCTTGTACCAGGAGACAGTATTTGGGATCACTTGTACAGGTCTTCATCAATCCCACCAATTCCTGGGAACTCTCAGCTCAGTCATGATCTTCCTAAGACAGTTTCTTTTCATGTAATTACTGTATTGGAGAAGGTTGCTTTGAAATCCACAAACAATTTGTAAACATCCTTAGCTACTTACATTTGTTTGAGTGCCTGTTTTAGGATAAAAATCTGATTTAACGTCATCATATATGATTTATGATCTAAATACCTCTTCTGAATCCAACTTTGTGGATTAAATTTTTATAGTTTATTAGGATATATCCGGACTTCCCATTCACCCTTTTTAGTTGTAAATTGGGTAAAGGAAAATATTTATTTATTTTTTTATTAAATAAGATAGAACAGTAATTATTGAGAGGTGTATATGATTGTATATAATATAAATATTATTTTTGTTTAGCGATGTATTTTCGCATTGCTTATGTGCACCATGCTCAGCAGCAATACTACTCTTAAGGATTATAAGACACCAAAACATTGCAATAAGACTGAGGGGAAGGGGTTAGTCTTGAGCAAGCTTTCTGGAGTACCACAACTGTACTGAAGCAAGAGAGCCCCTCTTACTGGCTACTCGAGTTCGAGTTCAAACCTCCTGGAATCATCTATCTGTGCCGCTATTCTTTATGTTACAACTTATTGGACAATCAAGTTATCTATATGCTTACATCAACTCTCACCATCGCCAACTCTGTACACATCTTCGAATCAATATGACCTTGTTGGAAGTAGGATTACCTACTCTAAACCTGGAATTTCTTTCTTTTTTTCTTCTTAATGTTTAAAGTGTTTTTGTGAAAATATTCTGTAATACTGTTATAATTGTAAATCACCAGTTATATTTTAAAACATATTGCTATGTTTCTGTTTTTTTTTTCCACATAACATAATTATTGATTAAAGTGATATTAGCAAATAATATATTTAGAACCAACACTAGGAAACTTCATTAATTAAATGACAAATTACACTAAACTGTATAAAAAAATCAATATAAACATTTTTAATTCACTAGGACCAATGAAGAAACCAACAATTTAATAATTAAAATATATTTATTTTATAATATTTTATTTTTAAAAAATCTTAGAAAAATATACAATTTTTACATATCCATTTACATACACACAAACACACATATATATGTGTGTGTGTGTGTATGTGTATGAATGTGAATGCACCAACATATTTACATATGAGTATATGTCTATGATAATACATATTTCCCTGCCATTTTTCCTCTCATAATATATAGCTGACCATTACAACATGAATTTTTCATATATCATTGATACTTTGCATCTTAGTTTTTTGGTGTTTAACAAAGTCCCTCGCTAGTTTTTCACCTTGTCTATGATCAATAGCTTTTATGACTTCTGAATCTAGAATAAAAGCAGTTATTTAAAAAAAAAAATTGTTTGCGTTTTTTTATGAAAATATAGTAACAAAACTACCAATAATAAATAATTACTTCATAATATAATAATTACTATATATATATATATATATATATATATATATATATATATATATATACATATATGTATATGTATATATATTATATTATATTATATATATATATATATATATATATATATATATATATATATATACATATATGTATATGTATATATATTATATTATATTATATATATATATATATATATATATATATATATATATATAATATCAAAATTTTTTTATACATTTGAACAATAAAACCAAATCTTTTTTTTTTCTCCTTATATATACATAATATAATATATATAATATATATATATATATATATATATATATATATATATATATATATAGATAGATAGATAGAAAAAAAAAACTTTATTCTGGGACTAAGTCCCTTCAGAATAACAATAATGTACAAAATAATAGAATATTACTGGCCTGAACGTTGAAACAATAAATGAAATTGATAAAATAAAATAAAAAGTAAAGAAAACCTTAGGTGCACAAGCTATATACAATACAGACAACTATGTACAGAGCATTTAAAATTATGAATAAAACAATTAAAACTATGAACGAATCATTTGAACTGTGAACAAAATTATATTTAAGGGTTGAACAACATAAACCTACACTTTGAGAAATGAAGAACGAAAAAGAGATACAATGAGTTCATTTCATAAAAAAAAAAACTTTACATGAATATATATGAAAATAAACAGTTACTTATAATTGAATAAAAAAAAAAAATATAAAAAAATGTGTGTATTGAAATTCCTACGTCGATAGTAGGAAATGCATGTACTATCTCTTACCAAGTGTTATGATTATATGATTGCTACACAATACATATATAATATTAATCGTTAGCTGGTATCTGACTGTTTTTGGAACAGGAATTGGAATAGGAGGTTTTTGAATGTGTACAGGGAAGGGGCATGTCGAATTTTGATCGGGAGGGAATTCCAAAAGTTGACAGAGCGGGCTATAAAGGAATTTTGGAATGAGGCAGATCTATGAGAAGGGATGTATAGGTCAGAGGGTCGGGATCTTGTAGTGAGTGAATGGATTGAGGACTTAAATTGGAGAAGGTTGTAGGCATAAGAAGGACGATGATCGGTAATGATTTGATAAAGGAAAGTGCCAAGGAAATATTGTCTTCTTAAGGAGGGGAAGAGCCACCCTAACTCAGTGTAGTGGTGGGAGACACGGGAGCGTCTCGGGGTTCCGATTACAAATCTTACGAAGCAATTCATAAGTCTTTTGAGTCTATCACGCAGTTCCACCGAGAGGCCATCGTACACCACACAGCTGTAGTCAAAGTGGGGAAAGATGAGAGAGGAAACTAGGAGTCTACGGGTATTTTGGGGTAGAAGATGGCGGAAGTGATGGAATAGTTTGAGGGTAGAAATTGCACGGCGGGATATATGAGAGATATGGTGATTCCAGGAAAGGGTTTGATCTATGAGAAAGCCTAAATTTTTAACAAAGGGATAGAAGGTGATGGGGTGGTTGTTTAGATAGAGTGAGGGAAAGTTGGTGTGGGATCTAAGAAGGGGCTTGGAACCAATGAGAATGGCCTGAGTTTTGGCAGCATTTAGCCTTAATCCATTTAAGTTGGCCCAGGTATTAATTCGATCTAAATCTTCTTGAATTTTGGCAAATGCCACCAATAACTCAGCGGGAGAAAAGGATAAATAGATTTGAGAGTCGTCGGCATAAAGGTGGTGGGAACAATGGATAATTGTATCATTTAGGTCATTAATATAAGAACTGAAAAGAAGAGGAGACATGCTTGAACCCTGTGCAACTCCTGAGGATAAAGGAAGGTAGGCAGATAGAGGTTGATTAGGTATGGAAACTGCTTGGGTTCGTTGTGAGAGGAAAGACTGGAACCAAGAGATGGAACTCTTGGAGAAGGATAATGATTTTAGTTTGTTGAAAAGGATGGAATGGATAATGGAATCGAAAGCTTTAGAGAAATCAAGAAGTATAAGAATGGTTAATTTTTTGTCATCTATTGCAGTCTGGATATCACTAGTAATTTTAATCAGAGCAGATTGTGTAGAGTAGCCAGGACGGAAGCCAGATTGGAGAGGATCGAGTTGGTTGGATTGTTCAAGGAAGTTGGAAACTTGGGATTGCACCAACTTTTCTAGGGGTTTAGAAAGATTGGAAAGGATTGATATTGGGCGGAAATCTTCGGGAGAGGATGGATTAGGCTTTTTGTTTAAAGGAAGGACAATGGCTTTTTTCCAAGAGGTCGGGAATATTGAATTCTGCAGGGAGAAATTGTAGATGAAAAGGAGTGCTGGGAGGATTTCAGGGAGACATAATTTTATTAGTTTGATAGGAATGCCATCTGGGCCTACGGAATTGGAACGGGATTTCATTATAACGGTAATAAGGTCTGTGGGAGAAATGTCGGAAAAATAAAAATTATTGTCGTTAAAAGGTACCTCTGGAGAAAAGCCGGAAGGGGATGGTAACGAAGAGGTGGAAACCGATATAAAGTGGGAGTTTAGGTCATCAGGTGATATTGGGAAAACTGAGGAAGGGGATCTAGAAGGTTCACAGAGGGAAAGCTTACGAAGTAGAAGCCATTTTGATTTGATATCAGGAGCTGAGGAAAGGGCTTCGTGAAAGTAGTTCGCTTTCGCTTGTCGGATCCTTGTCTGTGTCGTGTTGCGAAGCATTCTGAATATTTGATAATCATCTGCAAGCCTAGTCCGTCTGAAGCGTCTGCGTGCAGCGTCGCGTCTCTTCTGCAGATCCTTAATTTCCTGACACATCCAAGGAGCAGGACGATGACGGAAAGTGGAGGTTTTGAGAGGAGCGTGGGTATTGAGTATATTGAGAAGATTGGTGGTGAGAATATCAACCATGGTGTCGACAGAGGAGCAATGATATATTCCATTTAAATCCAATGTTACTAGATCAGGTAATATTTTTTCTCGAGTAAGGGTATCCAGTTGGCGGAAAGTGATAGTTCGAGGATGGATTGGAGGAGTGCGGATATTATACGTTATTTGTATCAGATCATGAGATGAAAGAAAGGATACTGGCACTTGAGAGGCGGAGAGGAGGTTTTGTGCTGAGTCGATGATGTAGAAGTCTAGCCAAGTGTCAGATCTGCTGGTGTGGTGGGTGGAGGAAAAAGGAACGATGAATAGGTGAAGTGAGAAAAACAGATTTTCTAAATAGGATTTGTCATTGGATTTTGAGAGGAAATTGGTATTGAGGTCACCGGAGATAATTATTCTGGGATAGAGGGGAACGAAGTTGAATAGAGTTGATTCGAAGGACGGGTCAAATGGCACGAGAGGAGGGCGATATACCACGGCGTAAAGGATAGGAGAAATATTACTGAGAATTTCTACTAAGAGATATTCTACATGAGGATGATCGGAAGATGGGGAGCAATCGAGGATTCGGGTCTTTAGGCTATTGTGGACAAACATGGCTACTCCACCGCCAGTCCGGTTTACCCGGTCATGACGGAGCAGGATGTAATTCGGCAAGGATACTGAAGATGATGGAATATAAGGTTTAAGCCAGGTTTCGGATATTGCTATGATATGATAAAAGTTTTGGGTAAAGTATTGCAGGAATTCGTCATAATGGGCAGAAAGTGATTGAGAGTTAACTTGACATGTGATTAGGGAACTAGACATACAGTAGATTTGGAGAGAAACAGTCAGTGTTTGGTAGCGAGAAGACAACACGAGTAGAAAGTACAGAAAAGCGATTATCGTACATAAAACTAAATGAAGAAAAAGTAATATTAACATTAAAAATAAATAAAGAGAATGTACTTAAAAATAAATAGATTGGTGAGTGACGGTGTCGAGATAGCACTAAGAGAAGAAGTAAGACTATTTTAATGAGGCTAAGGGGTTGACGGCTTCTAGGTAGTCAGTCAAATACATCTAGATCCGAGGCCTGTTCTATCAGGATGACTCTATGTCCGTCCTCTTTTCGACACCGCACCTTTCCGGAAGCAAACCACGTATATTTGATTTTTCCCGCCGCTCTCTTCTGCCGGGCTAACCAATAGAGGTGTCTGTTTGTGCGAGTCATCTCCTCACCCAGATAAATTCGGTGGCAGTCATTTTCCTGCCAACCGATATCCCGCGTGGAGAAATCCCTCTTCACTTTCCTTTTCGTAATTAGGTCATCTCTAATTGATTGCCTGACAAAACGTGCGATAACAGGCGGTGGTCGCGGGTCATCTTTTCGGCTTCTGCGGCGATGTACGTTGTCCAGGTCCTCCACACTAAGCCTGATCCCCAAGCTTGCTCCTATACTGGTCACCAAAGCAGCGGGCGTTTCGCCCGGTCGCTCCGGTATACCGCGGATCTCCAGTGATCTACTCAATAGTCCTTGCTCTGCGTTATTCAAGCGAACCTCTAATTCGCCCACTCGGGATTTGAGTGCTTTATTTTCTAATAGTATCTCCTCAAATTTTTTAGCTTGACCTTCCAGATGTTTTTCAATCTTCGTCAGTCTTTCGTTTAGTTCAAAACTGAGCTCTCCGTATTTATCTAGTGCTGTTTTCATGTTTTTTATATCTTCGTTCACGGTAGCGTCTAAACGGTTTACTGCCGCAAGTATTTCTGAGGGGGACGGCTCGTTATTTTGTTTTTTCACCTGTTCGCAGTTAGAGCAAACCCATGTTTTTTTAATTATTTTTAATGCTTCGGAGTCTTTATCAGTAAGGTTGACGCACCTACCATGAAAAATTATTTTACACTTAACGCACTGTATATTGTTCTTATCTTCGCGTGCGATAGAGTTGTTGCAAATATTACACTGCACCATTTTTTAAATTTATTAATGAGAATTACTTCGCAATTAAAATATAAATAAAATACCAAGACTGTTGACGGTAGTAAACAACGTCTAATGCTGTTAGGATTAGTAGACGCCTGCCAGCTCGTTGCTCCCAGAACTCTATCAATCTCGCTGCGATTTCTTTACTCCGATTGGTGTGAAGATCCGACACTTAATAGCGTGATTAATAATAGTGGTTTTTTAAAAAAGAGAAGAGAAAAAAAAAACTGAACTTAACTGCACTGAAAATTAAATTGAAGTAAACTGAGAGATTATATGAACGAATTACACCGATGTACACACCAGGGCGTCTCAGGCCAGACTGATATATATATATTATATTATGTATATATAAGGAGAAAAAAAAAATATTTGGTTCTATTGTTCAAATGTATAGAAAAATTTTGATTGTTACACCAATGATAGGTGTTGTTTTTCCAGAACTGAAGAGGATCCCATTATTTATGTTAAAAAACAGGGATTGAAACGTTTTTGAATAAAAATGGAATAAACAGAAGTTGTTTTAAGTCATCTAAGTGTATTTCATGACCTATATCCGACTATAATTCATATCTTAAGTTATAATATATAAAGGTCGAATTATAAAAAAACATTGTTTTATATATATATATATATATATATATATATATATATATATAATTCATATCTTAAGTTATAATATATAAAGGTCGAATTATAAAAAAACATTGTTTTATGTATATATATGTATATATACTATGTACTTCAGAAACTGCTACGGAAATTTATGACATAGGATAGTGTAAGATTTTCAGAAAACCCTTTCTTCAAGTAAGTTGCGTGACATCAACTAATTTAAAATATTTATCGATTTGTTTAAAAATTTGAACAGATAAAGGCAGATTAATGGAAATCCTAATCAATTGAATAGAATTATTATTAATTTTTTGATGATTAGCCAATCTCACACAAGATGAAGATGATATTGGCTATCTGTTAAGAAAAGTATTGGGCCAATACAAACGGTCAGAATTAAAAGTCATTTATAAAAACAAAATACATATGCATAGATGAGAATGAAATGAATGATCAAATCAAATATTTTTGTGACTTCAGCTCAATATTGGAAAGTAATAGGAAGAAAGATATTGAAGTAGATAAAAGAGCTAGCTATGGCAGAAGACTTTAGGTTTGCTGACTTCTCTGAAGGAGGAAGATCATTGGAGAGATGATGAAACTATTCTTTAATCAACATCTGGTTAAAGATCAATAAAAATGAATAAACTTATATAGAGTGTCTACAAAGTATAATGCCAGGACTTGGATTCTTAACACAGAAGAGGAAATAAGAATTTCATCATTAGGAATGAATTTTTAAATAACGGTCTGGATTTCAAAGATAAAGCATGTCAGGCACAACTAAATTGAAGAAAGGATGATGGAGAAAAGAAGAGCCTTAGGATTGACCGAAGAAAGAAGATTCATGGGATATGATTAGTTAAATCTTAAATTTTGTCGTACATTAAACTATAAAATACCTACTTACAACATACATGAAGTTAATCACAAATATGAGTGTGTGTGTATGTAACTATTTAAAATAATATATTGTGAAAATAATTGTACCCAAATTCGTTGGTTTGCTAAGCATAAGATGAACTTGTGCCATTTCATGTAATGAAGTTTCCAGTGTTGTTTGTGGAATGTCTGAGAAGGATATAAAAGCCTCTGCTATAAACTGGCTTGATATAAAATCTTGGTCTTTAATTATAAATTGCACTAAACCATTTTTGGTTTCTTTTTGCTCTTTTGAAAGTTGCCTGGAAAAGAAAAGACATATTTACATGAATAAAAAGTTTAGAATGTCTATGACTATACTTAAAAGACATATGCTAATGTAAGATATAATTAACAACTATCTACTTATTGTAATAAACATAACTAAAGTATAAAATAACGAAAAAACAAAGTTATGGGAACTTATATATTTAGAATGATTTGGCTAAAATTTGTTGATACCATCATACTCATGAGTTTTTCTTGTAATTATGTATTTCTTTTTATAATTTAGTTGGCCATCTTGTGGAAAAGGAATTCAACAAAAGTATCCTAGTAAAGTTTTAATTAGCAATTAATTATAAAAAATCTAAATCAGATCATTACAAATGCAAAATTAAAAAAAAATAAAATGATGTTTCCAATTAATTCATGTAAATCAAAAGAAATTTTAATATGTGTTGAGAATGAAAACCCATCAAGATTAATTCCTCCTCCCACTGGCAATACTTGATTTCATCTGTTTAGAAATCTAACTGAGATAACCTGAGGGATTTCTACAATGATATGGATTTCTAGAGACTTTATTGATACTGAATAAGTCATTACATTATGGAATGTGTTTTAAACATTATACTAAAATATCTTCAAGCGTCAAATCCAGAAATATGAATCTGGAAACATATTTCATTGTTTTAAATCAAAACAATAAAATATTTTTTCAATAAGATGTTTGATATTCAATTTATGAACTAAACCAATCAGATATATTACTTATTAAAAGTAATTTGATTAGTACTTATAATTTAATTATTATTTATATTTAAATACGATAAACACAGTGGATTTGAACTAAAAGCTTATATATCAGCCACAAATTTGTTAATGATGATAGAAAAAATTACCCAATGGTAAAAAAAACAGAATGGCATGCAAGTGTAATGAAAAAAAAACTTACAATGTAAAAGTGTCATCAAAAAGTGGAAAAAGATTTCTCCTTTGTGTTTTAGTTTTTGGTTTCGTAACATCTGCAAATTTTTCTTTAGGAAGTAAATGAATCTTGACATAAGGATCACATGAGCCTAAAAAATATATATATATATAAATAAACAATTAACACTTTTAATTATGTTCTGTTTAGTTGAGGTAAATGGATTTGAATAAGTGTGATGTAGTATAAATATTGCTAAAATCAGAGACAAGAACATGTTTTATTTCACTTTCCATACTTTTTTATGAAAAACAAATAACTAGTACCTATATTGAAATCATAATTAAATATTTACCATTTTTATCATGAGGTATTAAATTCCTAGCATTTAATACTTCAATTCTTAACATATAATGAACGAATTGTGCTCTTATTGTCAACATCCCCATTGTTGCTTCTTTCATCATTTTCTGTTCCCTCAGTCTTTCTAAGTAATAAGAGTGAATCAATTCATCAGTCTCCATGCCATGAAATTTCAACAATTTTCTAATGGTGATATAGTTCTCATTATTTTTTAAATTTTCTGATTGTTTAAAGAATCCAACTAAAATTTCTAATGCTCCATCCATGTTAGCAAAAAACGAGGATGGTCTCTTTTTCTGAAAAAAAACAACAAAAAAACAATTATATATACACACCATACATATATGTATATAAATTATATATGTTTGTGTAAATTATGATTAAACAGGAATATCAGGGACAATTATTAATTTATAGATTATAGCTGTTTATCATTTTATATAGGATACTTCACTTGTTGTTTTTAAGTCACAGAAAATACTGGGCATGTATTATTTGCTTGTTGCTGTTTAACTAGATTAGTGTCCCTTTTACTAAACATTTATAGAAGAAAATTATTAAACATCATTACATATGTCATTGATGGCTGGAGCAAGGTACAGTAGACTCAATATTTCGAAATTCAAAGTACTACAAGAACAATTTGAATTATCGAGACTTCGAGTTATCAAGAAGTTTGAATCATCAAGAGAAAAGAAAAAAATTCAAATTATTAAGAGTTTTTATTATACTTTAGAAAATATGTATGAGCTTACATAAATTTTATATAAAAATAACCTCATGTAAAAAATGTAACTATGAAAATTTTGGAAGTGGTCTAGTTCGAATTATAGAATGTTCTTTAATTCCCCAATCTAGAATTTCCCCTTCATATTTTCCCTCGATAACAAAAAGGATTTCAAGTTATCGAGCTATCAAAATACAGCATTTTTTCAACTTACCGCAGTTAGCGGCTAAACAGTTGGAATTGGCAAAAAATTCAAATTATCAAGAGTAGACTGCACTTCATATATTTGACTCTCAAGATCAGTTGAAAGGTTGGGTACAAAAGTGTATTGCTGATGTTAAGAAATTAAGGTTAAAAGAAAGAACTGGAAAAAATATTTCCAAAAAAAGTCAAGTTGAAGTAATCAGAGAGTTAAGTTATCCCACATTGGTCATAAACTGTTAATTTTATTAAAAAAAACTATCAGCTCCAGAAATTCACAAACTTCTTTTGAACAAATCTGCTTACCACAAGAAACCTCCACTTATACAAATTTAACAATTCTAATCTTATCTCTTAAAATAATTTACATGTTGGAGGTGAAATTCCTTATTAAAACAAAAAAATCCTAAATATTTTAGATAGGAGTTTAAATTTGATCTAGAATCCTACAAAAGTGTTACTGAAAATTATTATCCATACACATATAAAGTAGGAGCAGCCTACTTTTCCAAATTACTGAAGCACTAAGTTATGGTTTTGAAAAAAACATATATATACTTTAAAGAAGTGACTTGATTTTTTTTTTACTTAATAATCAAAACAACAATTATTTAAGATTATGAAAAAATATGTTGTGATCCTCAAAAAGTTTTTTAAATTTTAATTATAGTTAACGATCAAATCAGGATTCATTCTATTCATAGCTAAAGCAAATATACAATGAAAAATAACTGCATGCACTGGAGTTAAAATTATTAACTGTACCTCTAAGCTGTCTTGAATTAATTCATTTAAAATTGAATATATTTTATCCCATAAAATAGCAAGTGTTTTTTCGAAATTATCACTATTTAATTGTGAATGCAATGTTGTTAAATTTTCATCTAGATAATTTATCAGTCTTTCCATATGGTTATTTCCTTGGTTAAGAATTTCTCCTCCTTCCAGTAAAAATCGTTTTACAATTGGAGACATCTGACAAAATAAAATAAATCATTTTATGCTACAGTAAATGACAATAATTAAAGCATAAAACAACTAAAGCTAAGCAAGAGTAAACTGTTATAAAATATATATAATAAACGAATACATTATTTATAAAATTCATTTATATATAATATAAGAAATTATATTGCTTGTAATATGATGAAAATAAAAAATCAACTAGTTTTATTCACATTTAATAGTGCACTGTTGCACTAGAAATTAATTAGTTTTATGTAAACAATTTAACATTATTTTTACAACAATATTAATTATTATACAAAATTTTAATTTATATAAATAAAACAATTTACAAAACACTAAATTATATTTAATTTATAATTATAACATAATAATTATTTCAATAATAAGTTATTATTTCCTACATAGTTAGTAAAAACTAATAGCAAATAAACAGTAAAAGCGGAAACATTATTTTTAATTCTAATAAAATCATTAAAAATAAATAATAATGCTAATTATATGTTACCTTAAGAGAGACTTTTTCCAATAAATCGATAATTTTATTTCGAACATTGTCAAGGGCATTATCTACCACCAATGTCAAAGTTTGTTTACAGTGTTCAGCAGCTTTTGGGTTCCGTAAATCAGATAATTTCAATAACAAATCATCAATTCCAAGTTGAGTTACAAATGGTTCAATGGATTGTCGAATATAATCAATATTATTAATGGCTAAACACCACTGTTGGTAAGAAAAAAAAATTAGTACAACTGAGATTAGCAACTAAGGTAAGACTTAATTATACTTACATTATAAGAACAATAAAAAAAGGATAAACCGATTTTGAACCTAAATATTTTTAAGGGGTGATACAAAATATTAAAATTCATAGGAGAATATTTTTAGATTTGTTAATTCAAACTAGAGAACATTATAGTATACTCAGGAAGTACTATAACCGATTATATCTAAATATTCATTGTTTTTGAACAGTTTAACAAAACGAAATAGTGATTTTGAATGAAAATGATAGATTTTTTTTAAATACACATTTTTCATTACATTAATTATGTATTTTTGCAAAAACATTTTAAGAATACTAACAAATATGATAATGTCCTAGGACTAGGACTAATGAGGTTGTGGTACATTATTACAAAAAATAAAACAATATAAATAATAGTAATAGAAAAGTTAGTATTATAAAAAATAAATGTTCTTACCTCATGAGTAACTTCAAATTTTTTTCCATAAGCAGATTCTGTTTCACCAATAGTTTCGACTTTAGTACCCATTTTATCAGCAAAGTGAACACAACAACGACAAATATCCTTAAGAAAAAAATAAAGAGGTACTTCAATAATTATTATTTTTATAATTTGAGTACTAATAAAATACATATCATACTTATACAATAATATTGCAAAGCTTTAATTTATTAATTCCATCACCTGGGATGTACCAGAATAAACATAAATGCATAAATAAAAATTTTATTTGCAAAAAAAAAAAATACTTAACTTTACATCATTCATTATTCCTATAAATTAAAAAAATAAATTAATAATAATTATAACCAATTATGGTAGCATAACTCACATCAATGATCTTAGCAACAAAAGTGTAGTTTCCTTCAACATCTGGCCAAGCAAGCTGGGTCCAAAATACTTTAATCTGAAATGTTGAATGTGAATATTAATAAATTTTATTAAATTTAAAAATAAAGTTTCTACTACCAAACAATTAAAAATTAAATAGTATAACAGTCTACACAGTATATATATTCAATATATCATCCTCTAGTAGTACCTGTTTATCGTCAATCAACATACCTTAAGATTGTGTCAGTTACAGATATAAATTGATCCTGAATCTAAAATGTGTTTATTATTGGTGGCTGACCATATGCTAAAATTAAGGAGATCGCCTGGATGGCAGTAAAGGATTACATAAATAATGGTTAATGGGAACTATTTATCAAACTCCAATGTTTCAACCCACACTTTTTGAGTTCATCAAAGTTGAAAACAAGGAGATGATTTGGTGTCATCTGCACTACTGTTACATTGACACCTACATATCTTTTTCTTTCCTATTGACGAAAAACAATGTGGTTCAAAGTGTCAGAATTTCACAAAAAGTGTTTAGTTTTACTATAAATCTGTAATAATAATTATTTTCTACTTGTGTTGCAAGTTTTCTAAAATACAAGACTTGTATCTTTTAATATTTATGTTCATATAAAAATTTGTCTTCAAAGTTCTAAGAATTACTCACAACTCCTTCAAGATTTTACTTTTTAAAATAGTGTACTATTTCTTAGTCATTTCTTAGTCATTAATATTTAATATTAAATCTGTAGTGGAGATTTTCAGATAGCTGTAGTATCATTGCTAAAACATTTATATAAAACCAAGCAGTTTATTTTCTGAATTAAGGGTCTACTTGGTCTCAAGTTGACAATGGGTCTAAATAACTTTTTTTTTTTCATTGTAATTGATTCAAAAATGTCTTGCTAAAAATTAATTTCTTATTTTATTTCTTTATAAGTTGATAATAATACACCTTATTATATTGAGGGACATAGATTAAGAAATGCTTAGTGAAACAAATTTAAAATACAGTGTATTCAGTTTTGAAATAATAAATATTATTTTTAATAGTATCCACAAAATTTAAGGAAGGAGATGCTTCAGGGTGGCAGTCATGAAAAGAGTTAAACAGTGAAAAACTATTTTATTTATTTACCCCGGACCATCTCCTTCCTCAATAATATACAACGGTCAACCATCAAGTATTCAAAAATTTGTCCAATATCAAAAAAATACAATTTCAATCAAAAAGCAACCATCTGAGGATAACTAATCTACATGTTAGGGTTCTTAAAGTTTATATAGCAGAAATATCAGAGAATTTTATCAAATTAATGAATGAATATGAATCCATGCTCCTGAATTTTCTTTCTCTTTCTTATTTTTTTTTTTTGGAATCATTGCAAATATATTATTTCAAAATAATATTAAAATTGAAATTTTGGCTTCTAGTCTTTTGGTTTTGTAAATGTTGGTTGTTGCAATATAATAAAGCTAGGTGTGTGTATTGTCATGAATCAATTTTGAATTTTTCCCTTAGTTTAGTAGTGTAACTTATTCATTTTTAATATTCTATAAATAATAACCAATTATTGGAAATGACAAAATTTCACAAAAAGATGACAAAATCAAGTTTTAATGAGATTGTAAGGTTATATCAAAAACATCACTTTGAATGCATTTTTTTTTTCCATACTTTATAAACATACCTGGTAAAAAATTGAGAGAGTATCCACTGCTGATGAAGAATATTTAACACTTTCATCAACAGGTTTAAGATTATCGAGTTCTATTGCTTTGTTTATTCTCATTATAGCTTTAAATACAGCAATGTCAAGCCAATGAGCCACTCCTTTTTGGAACCATGTATGAAATTGTGATAGATGAAGTGAACCAATATCAGCTGGAAACATACCCTCTCCTAATCTGAAAAACATTTCAACTGTTAGTAAAAAATTAATATGGTACCAACATGTGTTCAATTAATTCATAAGATTTATACTTAATATTACTTAGTTATTGCTCGCACGGGCTCATTACCGTGTAGGGGAGCATCCCACGTGTGGCGGATGTGGGATGTGAAAGTTCCTTGGAAAGTTCCTCCTGGCTAAGTCCGATGGACTCACTGACCAACAATGAGAGGGACCCTCCAGACTTTCTGGAGGGTGTGTTGTAGGGTTGAACGCCCTACTCGTATATCTTTAGTTCCCCATACACCACAAATAGCCATGAATCTCCCTAAGGTAAAATGCTCATTATCCGGAGATAAACTAGTCCTCTGTTTGGGTCTCTGTGTGGGAACTGCTTTAGGGGATTCATGGCGCAAGTTGAAAAATAGGGATTTACGTATTGGTATGTGGATCATAAGGAGTTTGAATTCAGCGGGGTGGCCGAATAGGCTAAAGCGTGTGTAACAGCACCGCTAGTTGCCTGGCAACCGGATAACAGAGATTTGAGATGATATAAAAAGTACGAGTTCGCGTCCCGGTGCCGGAGGGGATTTTCAATTTCCCCGCCCTCACCCCCCGGCCCGGGAAAATCCCGTATAGCCTAAAAGGCGAGGTAGGGAAGAACAAAAAAAAAAAAAAAAAAAAAAAAAAAAGGGTGGGTTAAAATCGTAAAACCACAGGAGGACTCAATAAGGGAAGGAAAGTACACTATTTGGTAGGGAGGAAGCAGAAATTGTTGTTTAGGGGCGTACAGTTCTTTATATCAGGGAAGTTTGTTTAAAATCGCGTTATTAAACATACATTGTCGGTCCAAAGATAGTGATGATAAAGTCAAATGCGAATTTTATGATAAACTCGAATGGGTTTATGATAAACTACCGCGAAACTCCATAAAAATAGTTGTAGATGACACAAACACAAAGGTGGGAAAGGAAGAAGTTTATTTTCCGACGATTGGTAAACAATGTTTGTGCGAATATAGTAATGATAATGGGACCCATCTGATAAACTTTGCCATCTTAAAAAACCTGATAATTAAAAGCACTACGTTTAAATATAAGGATATTCATAAATATACCTGGACATCATCAGATTCGCAAACACAAAATCAATTCGATCATGTTTTAATACAACATAGCTGGCAAAGCAGTTTAATAAATGTACAGTCTTGTTGTGGAGCAGAATGTGAGTCAGATCATGAATTATTAATCGCAAAACTTCAGCAAAAACTCAATATAAAATAGAGAAAAGAAAACCGTTTCGATATCTAGAATTTTAATTTGTAATAATAACAAATTCATCGATTTGAACTCAATTCAAGCTAGATGTTAAGAACAGGTTCGAAGCTTTAGAATCTTCAAATGATGACCACAATGATGCAGATAAGTTATGGGTAGAGATCAGGGATAATATTAAAGCAAACAGAAACTTGTGTCATGGAAAAAGGAAAATAAAAGAACAAACCGTGGTCCGATGAAGATTGTTTAAACATGTGTAATAAAAGAAAAGCTGCTAAATTAAAAGCTCTAAATAAACCTAATGAAGACAATCTCGAATACTTCCGAACGCTAAAAAATGAAACGACTAAATTGCTCAAAAATAAAAATAGAGAGTATCTTAAAAATAAAATAATTGACATAGAAACTAATAGAGTTGAAAATAATGTAAGATACATTTAAAAAAGTATAAACCGATCATGCAAATATAGGGCCCATCCTGTCTGGAATAAGGGATAAAAGTAACAATATTCTGACAGATCCGGTAGACATATTAAATAAATTTAAGAAACACTTTGACAATATTTTAAATACAGGAAATAATGATCTGTGTCCTCCTTCTGAGCACCAGAGTGCTGAACAATTGAAATATTAATGAAATATTTTAAGTCCCACAAGAGTGCCACTGATAAAGAAGGCCATTATATTTATTTATAATTCAATTTAGGTAATTTTATTTGTCTAAGCATTGGTATAAATACAAATTTAATTTTTATACTGCTGTAATCTATATAATTAAGTATTAATAAATAACAATGTTAGAATTTATGAAAACCACACATATACATGTATATGCGTTATCGGAGCCTGCATTTTATTAAGCACGTGTTACTTATTCTAATATAAGGTCGAGTGTGCGCTCGGATTTCTTCGGTTCTCTGTTATAATTCCTTTTCCAAAACATTTTTCTCCTTCACTTAATTACCAAATTCTTTCGTATTTTATATTAAACTCTTAAATTTTTTATATCAGGTAACAATATGAAATGGTTAATTATTTCAAATAAATAATACTACAGGTAATTTAGAGATTGGAATGTTGAAAATTAGGCATTTAAGCTCTGTTAAAGAACATTAATGAGAATAAGATCTACATTATACTAAAAACTGCTTAATTTTACACTGATATGATGAATTTAATCAAAATCGTTAGAGCTGTTTTCGAGAAATTGTGTAAAATCAATGATATCAAGTGGCACTTCCAGATAGTTTATTTTGATAGAAAAGTTTCTATAACATCTTAGGTATATACAAATCTTAAATATGCAATTTAAGTTTTGTACAACTTTTTGTTATTGAGCTAGACTGTTCACATACATTATGTTCAGTTACATTCACTAGCGGATTCAGGATTTAATTTTGGGGGGAGGGGGCTTGAGCCCGAAAGCCTTTTTTTAACAAAAATAACGATAATTACTTTATAAAAACAGAAAGAAACTAACTACCTATATGAAATGGTGTTTAAATGATTCCTAAAGTCCTTTTAAATGTAATTACACAAACAATAATACTTTAAGAGGTATTTTAAAAAATTTTTTTGCATAAAACATGGTTATATTTTACCATTTTGGGGGGGGGGGGGCTTCAGCCCGAAAGGCCCCCCCCCCCGTAGATCCGTCCGTGGTTACATTCATCACATATATTTCTGTACATAACTTGAGGCGAATCACAAATTTTTTAAAAATAAAAATCAATTTAATTAATATGAACTTAAAGCTTATTAAGCTTAGTAGAGTTAAAGGGTGATAAAAAACAATCACAAATAATTTATGACTTTCTTTTTTAACGAAACTTAGCTGTGTTTATCCGCCCAATAGTCCTCTTTAAATAGTTTTAACAATGACAAACTTTATTTTCGTTTAAAGTAAATTTTGTCTAGTTTACTATGGAGCAATGTTTAATTACATAAATAAAATATTTTTTTAGTTATTGCTTCTTAAACAACAAAAAACGTGACCCAATTAAAAAACCACAAATCTTAACTCAATTATGGTGACTGCATTCAATAATAGTAAAAAACAATTTTACGTTGTCAAAAACTACAATGAACATTAATGATTTATATAAAATAAAACAATAGCTGAATGACTATGTACAAAGGTATGGTTGAATAATGAGATGGGATGTTAGGTCGTACTGTAATGGCATGCAGGGCAATGGGGCAGGAATATATAGATATAGGAATGCTGAGTAAGCTTTCAGGGAAAATAGTGCAGGTGGCTCCTTGACTCTTTCCTACTTTTCTGCTGGATATTGGGGAATTGTTTACATGAACTTTTTTGTAATTTTTGGTGTCTACTATTAAACATTTAAATATTTCTCCCTACTTACAGGACACTCTGCATAATATAAAATATCTACATCGATATAAAATATTTTATATACCTCTAAATATCAAGTAATTAAAACTAAAACATAAAAGAGCATCATAAAAGGAAAACTATCAATCTAAGTAATAATGAGGAGAATAATTTCATTGATATTTTATCATTAACCATTAATCATTTTATTATTCATGCAGAGGAAAAATAGAGCAAGAGTGACAAAAAAACTATAGCTCACTGAAAGTAACATTACAATAGTCAAGAAATCATACCTACATTTTAAGTATTAATAATCGATAAAAATGGATGGTATATTATAATATATTACTTTTAAGAATTATATAAACTCTTACAACTTCTTCATTAATATCTTAAATATTGGTCAAGTCTCAAATTAATCTAAAAATTAATTTTGTTTATAAACAGCTTACTGTTAAAGAAGAAATTTTAAGGGTTCATATAATTCTTAAAAGTAATATATTACAATATTTAATTCATTTTATTTCATACACTTCGTATAAATAAATATTACAATTAATTCTGCAAAATAAATCCTTTGGGGCCAGTATAGCAGAGTGTTTAGTAATGTATTAGTAAATTAAAGGTCATAGGATCGAATCCCAGCCCTACTTCCCATAACGGATTGTCCCGGGGGAAGTTGGACTATTACCCCCTTAATTAGAGGCGACCTACAAGTTGTAACATAATTATGAACAGGCCAGAAAAAAAACCTTTAAAAAATATTGAGTCACTAACAATTATAGTTTAAATAAAGAAAAATGAAATCGTTTCAGGCTTAAAAAAATAAAGTTACAAAACTTTTTTTACTCAAAATACATACATGAGAAATTTTTGAAGAATTAGGTATAACTCAAAAAGAGATGTCCCAATTGACATAGCTTCATTATCATCATCTAAGCCATTCACATTACCATCAAAATTAATGGGTTTGAGTGCTGAACATACAGTTTCTACACAAGGCTCAACCAGTTCATATACCTAAAAGTAGAAAATAGAAAACAAAATTAAATTATTTACTATCAAAAACAAATCAGAAAATCATTACTATAAAGAAAAGAATATTGGGTAAATATACAGTATATGTTAATAGTATACATGTAGTATGTGAATTAAATTATTAATTTTCCAAGTCATACCAAATTTAATATGATTATGAGAAAGGTACATTGTGGTACTCATTAAAGAGAAGTACTTAAAAGAAATTTTATTACATGTCGTTATCACAGTTTAGTTTAGTGGGCTCAATATTTCAGTGAATAGGAAGAAATGAGAATGAAATCCTTCATTAATGTTAGTAAATCAAGTATGGTGGGCTGCAACTAAAGCCATACCACTCATCGCCTAAGCCCATTTTCCTCAGGAAATTGGCATGTAAGTAATTATTTATCTGAACAAACCAATGATTTGTCTACCACTTAAAAAAGTTGAAAATATCACAGTAATATTCCTTATAAGCAGAGAACGCAGTTTTATACAGTAAAAACCCATGAAATAACATGTATATTATGCAATAAAAAATAGTGATATATGCAGTAATAAAACACAAAATATGTAGCAAAAAACAACAAATATACAATAATATAGTTAGAACACTCAATTATCATCAATATGGTCTGAACTAAAAAGATATTGGAGAGATTTGGTGGGTCTGATATTTCAATTTTGTAAAAAGTGATGCACTTTAATTAATAAAAAATATTACTGCTAGTAAAGAAAGTAAGAAATTGAAACTAAATGTGTATTATTTGTATTAGTATTTAGAAGTTTAAGAGAAATGAGAAGAGGAGATAAAAAGCCAAAAAATGAAAACATCCATGTTCGATGAAGTCAATTACTGAAGATAATGTTATTCTGCAGTTGTTTATTGATTACAAAAATCAAAACAAACTTTGATTTGATTGTTGTATGAAATTTCATTTTTAATGTTGTATTTTAATTTGTTTCTACATATTTTATCATTATAATTTTTTTTCTAAAAATAATCCGAACATGCAATTATATGCATTTATCATAAAATATGCAATATGAAATTTGACTAATTGTATCTAGATACACTGATTCGTAAAGATATTCGATCACCATCTTAAAAATCTGATGCGGTGTGCACATCGTACAACTTTTACTTACCACCCCCTTATTAGCATAAATAAGTATTTAAGACAAATGGAAGTGAAAGTAAAAGTTATAGAATTAAAAAAATAACAGTACCACTACAACCTATGAAGGGTCCTGGGTTCAGTACTATTTAGGAAAAATACTGTTTATTAGTCAACGGCTGTGCAAGGAGGTGATTTAAGATCACGCTTAACCGCCAGGTTTTCTCCCTTAATTAATTATTTAATTAAGGGTACCCACATGATAGAGGCTGGGTGTATCCCAGGAGGGTAGCCTCAAGGCTAATCAAACAGAATAAATAATTTTCCTGCCATGAGCTGGGATTTGAACCTGGGACCTTCAGCATTGGAAGTTCAGTACCCTAACACTGAGCTACCCCACTCCCTTATAGAATTTAAGAAACATTTAAAACAATTACTTACCACAAGTTTTTGTTAGCCTTCTAATGTACTATATTTAACTTGTTTGACACAAGTCGATTTTTTTTTTTCTGACTGTATATTTCAATTGTTTATTTCATTATAATAAATTAAGTGTCACAAAATATTTTTAGTAGAGTGCCTCTGATATAGAAAACAGCTTTATTTATTTATATTTTATTGTGGTTATTTTTATTTGTTTAAGTACCGGTATATATACAAATTTTAATTTTTAATTTCTGTAATCTATACAATTAAATATTAAATAATACCAATGATAGCATTTATGAAAACCCCATATGTATATATACATAATATTGTCGGTGTCCATATTATCAAGCTTCTGCTACGTATGAAAGTCTGTTTCAATCTTTTGGGCAAGCTCGGGTGCGCTCATATTCCTTTGGTTTCTATATTATAACTATTCTCCGTTACAATCTCTTCTTTCTCCTTTAGTTAATTATTAAATTCTTTCATATTTTATATTCAACTATTTTTACATGAGAGATTAATTTGAAACGGTTAATTCTTTTAAATTAAAAAAACTAAAGGTATTTTAGAGGAAGATATTTTTAAAAATTCGGCAATAAAGATCTGCCAGGTTGTATTGATGAGGATAAAACCTATCTTAAATTAACAACTTAATAATACACTGCTCTAGTGAGTTTAATCAAAATTTAGTTAGAGCCATTTTTGAGAAAATTGTAAAAATGTATAAAATCAATTATATAAAGAGCCACTTCCGGTTAGCTGATTTTGAAGAAAAAGTTGCTGTAAAATTTGAGGTATATACAAACCATAAATATACAATTTCACTTTTACACAACTTTTTGTTTTTGAGATAGACTATACACACACACACACACACACACACACACACACACACACACACACACACACACACACACACACACACACACACACACACACACACACACACACACACACACACACACACACACACACACACACACACGCACGCACGCACGCACGCACGCACGCACACACACACATACACACAGACCATTTAGTGGGACTTGGTTATTTGAACTCAGGTGACCGCAAAACATGTATTTATGTAGAAAACTCAGATTCGAAAATTTTCACGATTACAATACTTCCCCTTACTATATATTTCATATATAGGTAAGTGAAAGTAAAAATACAAGCAAACAAAATACGCAATCACATAAGAATCTGTTCTGTGCTTATAAGTAATATAATAATAAAAAATATCAGTATACGATGTAAACCAATTAAGTAAAAAAAATACCTTGATATCATAAATTTGATAAAGCTCAACAGCATACTGAATTCCAAGAATTCTGAAAAAAAAAATATTAAGTTGTAATAATATTAAATTGATTAAATCTTTTTTCTGATGTTTGATATACCTTCAACAATATTATATATGTCTTGATATATTAAAATTAAATAAAACACAGTGGTTCTAAGAACTTTTTTTTTGTTCACCCTCTACCTCACCATTTCTAGCTAATGGAAGAGAGAGGGGAAGGAATGTGTTCTGTAGAACCTGTTCTAATCAGAGTAGGAATTTCAAGATTCATTCAGTGTATCTGGCATGAAATAAATTTAAACTTCCCCAGGCTAGATTCAAACTGGCCCCACTATACTCAAGAATTTTTACATATTCAGCCACTATGGCCTCGGTAAAATGGACAAGGCCATACTTAGGAAAGTTACAGGATTAAACACAAATCTGTATGAACTCAAGTTGACAAAATCTCCTATTTGTAAAAGAAACTGCCTATCATATCAGCAAATACAATGTTTCGTTAATTAATAAGTATTCTAGACATTGAATCACGGACAGCAAGATGTACCAAGCTCTGTATATCAATCAATATACTGAGCTTATGGAATAGAGATTCAACTGTTTGAATAAATATTGATTACAATGAACTGTTTAAATATATTACATGGTACACACTTGAATTGAATAGGCTGTAGTACTTAAATCAAATCTCCCCCCCTCCAAAAAAAAAAAAGATCTCAAGGGGACCATAATTGATAGTGGAGATCAGTGCTTTAACAAGCAAAATGTCTAGTGTTCTTATTTTTAAAAAATCATGCAGTGGTAAATTAATAAACATTTTATGACATTCATTTTAAGCCCAGCAGGAATGTTACTTGATGGAATTAAGCACTGAATAAATCAATAGCATGAATAAAGAAACTCTAAAGCTTTGCTAAGAAGAATAGTGCCTGAGACACATTTCGAACACATAACATCATGACATTGGAATTGGAGGTAAGAAATTTTGAGACAATCTTGGAATCTACCTTGAAGTAGAAGATACTTTCTACTTCACCTCATGAATTATTAGATCTTTGAACAAGAAAGCATACCAAATTTACCTGTCTACAGGAAGATAAGCACCATAACAGGCAACCAATGTGCTCAGTCAACACTTACCAGAAATTATGCTTTTTATAAGTGAATCAAGTAAAACTAAAGCAATTAGAACGAAAAAAGATTAATATAAATTGCACGTACGAATAGAAATGTTTATCAAAAATTTCAATGCTTTTCTGTATATCATTTCTGACAAGTTGAGTTACTTTAACTGCTTGCTGAAGTACTTTTTCATTTGAAAAATCTTCTGGTTTATTATTTTCCAAAATATGATCATACCTAGAACAATAATAATTATTATAATACAAACTAACTGTAATATAAAAGTATATATTTTGAAGATAAAACTATCAAACTGTTTAATGGTTAGCTATCAAACATTTATTCACTTACAAATGTATGAATATAAAAAATCTGCAAAGTAGTTTTTGACCACGTTGATAAGGGATTTAATAAAGATTGATTTGGTAATTTGACGATGGTACAAATTTACTTTCTTTGAGGAATAAACCATTTGTTCCCAAGTTAATATCATTGAGTTTATAAGTAATTTAAACATAATACAAATATTTTAAGAGCGAAATGATATTTGAAATATAAATGTCAATGAATATTTACATGCATTACTTTTTGCCAGTCCCTGATGACTACCTTGAGGTTGCTGCCACTTACTTTCTTGGACTTTGTGTTTCGAAGTCATTAAAAATAAGAAAATATATTGGAATAAATTCGGAGGTTTTAATAACAATAAAAAAATTCTGTTTTTCTTTTGAAAATAATCTGACATTTTTTTGTTTGATGATGCAGCCTTAAGGTAATGTTTTGCTGGTACTGCCCACAGCAGCCACTGCCAACCGTTTATGCTTGTCTATTTCCCTGAAACTGCTCACTGTCATGTACAAATCCTCTCAATTTAACATCATTGTTTGAAATAATTTTAAATAAAAATGTTAACCTTAAATTTAATGGTTTTCATTTGTATCAGAAGGACAGCAATACGTATGAGATGGCAGGCTTTCGATCTTATTAAATTTTTTTAGAGGATGATGAAAGTGATAGTGTAAAAATTAAATTAAAACATAATTTAAACTGAAGGTCTCTAAAGTTGCATAACAATTTTTTATGACTTTCTTTAAGATGTATAAATACCTACATTTTCCATCAAATACATAAATATGCAAAATTAATTTATTATACTATTAAATAATATAATCACAAATTTTACATAATATTATATTTTGGATAACAATGTGCTATAGGGATGGTTAGGTATTCAGTCTTTTAGTATTGAACCTGAAACAATAATAATTTGTTTTAATTCAATTGAAATATGTAATTATTTACCATTCTGATGCACTCTGTTTTATTGTTTCCTTCAGTATAGAGACAATATCCTGTTCAGAGCAGCTAGATTCACTAAGCCACCCAAAAGATGTTTTGGGGAACAAGTCATATTCTTCAGGAACATTTAAACTTGATATGAGTGAAAGAACCCTAATAACATAATAAGGAATAAAAACATTATTACAAGGGCAGCTAAAGAGAGCTAAATAATGCAATATAGTTTTGTAGAACACAGTTTGTAAACTACTATTTTAAATAAAATATTAACTTTGAATTCAATTCCAGACAAAGTAGAAAGAGTTGTCGGAATACCAAAAACATTTATTAAAATATGCTAAGAACCTGAAACATATCACTTTCACAGATTAAAATCTTCTTGATAATCTGAGTAAGTAAATTATTTTATATAACCAAAGTAGGTACTCCTTAGGCGCAGGGATTCACAGGGGGGAGGGGGAGTCTTTCGGGCTGAAGCCCCCTCCCCAAAATGGTAAAATATAACCATTTTTTATCAAAAAAATAATCACTAAAAGTATTGTCGTTAATGTAATTACATTTAATAGGACTTCAAGAATCACTTATACACCATTTCATATAGGTAATTAGGATCTTCCTCCTTCTTCTAAATCAATAATCGTTTTATATATATATACATAAAAAAAAAAGGTTTTGGGCTGAAGCTCTCCAAAATTAAATCCTGGATCCCCTAGTGGATGTTTTTACATTTGAAAAGAAAGAGGTGTTAACAAGATCCTGTTGTATTTCAGTACACTTGTTGCTCAGAGTATCAAAAGTATTGGAGTTTTGGATTTAAGCATTAAATCAAATGCAAAGTACTATAATTTGGGGTTATTTGTACCCAGTAGAGAGTTACTTGGTCCCATTAAAAACAAATTTTCAAAAACTCCCACATCTCTTATTGTGAAATTATAGGGATAATTCATAATCCCTACAATAGGGAGCTGACTAGCATCAGGTGCTGAAGCACTTTACCATGTTCTTGCTAGTTTATGTAATTTAGTTTCAAATAATCTAGTGCCCAAGTAGTCCAAAGTTACAGTCCAGTCTTTACCTAACTAGATTAGCCTAAAAGACTACATAAATATTTTATTTCTTGAATCTCTGAAATATAGTGAAATACTCACTTTAAAATTGAAGTTAATCCTTCAAGAAAATTATTGTCATCTTGGGACAATTTTCTTAGTTTTCTAATGTGCTGGAAAAAGAAGGGAAGGATTCTTTTTGTGCTTTCCCAAAATAGTTTCTCCTGAAAAAAAAATTAAAACAATTTTTTTAAATCATTATTACTCTAATAATAGATAAAATATTTGATCTTATATTTCACAAATTTTATTTTGTTATTTTGATTTACACATCATGTGTAATTAGCATAAAGCCATCCTGAGCATATCTGATAAAATTTACACACATTTGCTCAAAACTACAATCTCTTTACATTAAATCCTCAACAAACTTTCATATTTTTATCACAAACAATTAGTTGCTTTTCAAAAATCACAATTATAAAAAAATGATTTTATTTGTCAAGTCCATTTTTCTTCTCAATAGTCAATAGAACATTAAAATTATGGGCCACGATGGTGGAGCGAGTTAAGTCGCCCGCAAAAATTTGATGCTACGAGCTTAAATCCTATTCCTGGGATTTAATAACAAAAACAAAGGTAAGAAATATAAATAAATTAAAATAAATAAGTGCAGTCCCTACTCGATTACTTTGACCACTATGGCGAGGATTCAATTCCCGCATGGGCATGGTAACGTCTCCACCTCCAGATTCACAGGAAGACAAGCGACCCCTGTATCTAACAACGAAGCTCCTTGGTCTTCCAGATTAGGAGTTAGACACAGGGATAATAACCCTTTTCCATAAAAAAACAACAGGATAGAGATGTCTGAAAAAGGTTGCCAAACATCCTGATGAAGAGGGAGTGATTTCTGATCGCGTTCAATTATTATTAACCACTTGCTCCCTGAATATCTAAATAAGAGAACCAAACGATCACAGCTATCACCTAGAACAGCCCCAATGCTGCTAGAAGACTAATGATTGATGCCAAATAAATCAAAATACATTAAAAAAACAAAAAAAATAACATCAAAATTATATTAAATATAAAACAAAACAAATAAAAATATTATAATAATTTTTATGGATATCCATTTTAGCTTATTTTAAATACTTTCAAACCAGTATCTGCTATTTTATAATCTAGTTATCACTAAAATAAGTAAAATATCACATTTTCAATTAAAAATTCATTTATCTAATTCATAATTTTTTGCAATTATAAAAATTAATTAATAGACCTTGTTATTTAAAAAAATTGTTTATTTTTACAAACATTTGCAACCCTAAAAGATGAAGGGAGATTTATTTGGAATTTATCGATATTTTTTTCTTCGCAGCTTCTTTTTTAATAAATTGTTTAGGGAAGTTTTATATAAAAAATTGTTTAGTAATTATAGTGTTTTTCATAAATGATTCATTAACTGTAGTAAATAATTTAACATTTCAATTTTAACTAAATAAAAGGCATAAATCCCTAATAAATTCTTCATTTGATTTTCTTTTTAATTTATTGCGTTCACTATTCTTAAATCTACACTGAAAACAGATTACCATGGACTGCTGTCTGGTATACCACTTCAGGTAATGACAGTGTTACCAAGGGCATTGAACTAACCTCAGTAGCTTGAAAATATTAAATTGTCTGCAAACAAGTCAGTAAAATAGCTATTATTGCAAACCATATATGTATTATTGTATAAAAACCACCCATGTAGTTATAAATATATGTCTAAGAAAATAAATATAATTAGACCTTACAGTCTGCAATTTTTCAAGCAGACATTTATACCTCGTGTTGATAAAATTAATTTGATAAAAATTATGTTGATCACTTGATCACATAATCTAGTGAGTGTTATGCACAACATCTAACTTTTATATTATTCTAAAATTATAATATATTTTACACTAAAATGCAGAAAAATAATAACAAAAAAATGAGATAAGTTATATGAAATATTTATTGTTAATATGCGCTAGTTTTTAAATAGAATTTAAAATATAGTACCTGTTCATTTGAATATAGACCACTTTTAAGTGTCTGAATAATTTTTTCAAGGGTTTTTAGAAACAGTGAGAAACAGAAGGGTTGATTAGTATGAAAACGGATGAACTCTAACCACCTCGCCATGTATTCATCAGATGGTTTCAGTCCACTTTGTGCAGTATGTTGTCTCAAAATTGTATTGGCTGGTTCAGGAAACTCTCCATCCCACTCCTTAGGATCAATCTGGAATTAATGTTTCATCTTTTTATTTCATTATAAATAAATATATATTAAAAACATATATTTAATTTGATTGTTTCTAAAAATTCTTTTTCTTACAGTCCAGTTAAATAAAATATTTTGTAAGAAAAAGTTTGTCTCTAATTTGAAACCCACATTTTTAATCTTTTCTCAGTACCATAAGTTAAAAAAAAAGAAGAAGATTTTTCTATATAAAAACGTAACAACAGTTAGATTTTCAGAAAATATTCTCATTTTTCTATCTGACAAGCACAAATATGGATTAATTTTTGGGTCAAGCAAACTCAATAAAATTATTGAGCTAAAAATAACAAAAACAATTTTTCTTTAAAGTAGAAAAAAGTATTGTTTTTTATAAATCACTACCCCTATACCTCCCTCTCAATAAGTAAAGTTGAGTAGATTTTAGTTGGAAAGAACAATACTTTCTAAGAAACATAATATTTAGGGTTATTCAGTAAAAAATAGAAATTTCAATATATTTCCAAACACCCTTTAATACAAATTGGCAAGCTAAGACTTGATATATATGTTTCACATTAGTTTCAATACTGATACCATTTTCAATAATAACGACTACACATTTTATTTTTTATACTATATATTGACTGGACTATTAAGGCAAAATTAAGACAAGAAATTAATTATAATTAATGATAGAAAAGTGATTAAATGTCATATGTAAAAGTTGAATTTTAAACACAGCATTACTATTAAAGGATTTGAGTGAGAGAGGGTTAAGTGTCATTGGGAGAGGAAATATGGCTTTAATTATTACTATCACAAACTGTTACAATGTAAAAATGGTGAACAAAATGGTCACAGTCCAAGAAAATCGTTGACAGAGAGGCAAATGTATGTTTTGGAAAGTATTCATGCTCATTAATTTGACTTAATCCTTAGCACACACAAACACACACACACACACACACACACACACACATATATATATATATATATATATATATATATATATATATAATGCAGTTACTTAGAGTAAATTAATAATATTTATAAAATTGAATATGTTTAGGCTCATTTGTGGGTGCCATAAATGTGAGAAATGATATAATGTGGGCATGAAATAATTTATGAACCATCAGAGTTTTAACACGAAGAATGGCAGATTTGTGTTAATTAATAATTATAACATAAGTAATACTAAAAAGCAGTGAATCAGATTTTTATGATATAATTTGGTTTCTTACATTTTGATTTTCAACTTCATGTAGTAAAAGTAATCGGATTAAGTGTCTTCCCTCTTGAAATGCAACTGCACTATTTTTTTCTGAGCCAAAATTTAATTTCAGATGAATTTCTCCTCTTGCTTTCGATTTTTTTTCTAAGGGGTACCACTTTTCATGTCCTAAAGAAGGTATACACTGAAATAAAAATAATTAACAAGTTATATAAAATTTAATTAAATAAAAATTTACAATATTAATAAAAATACAATATATACAATACAATTGTTAAAATTACAATAACATGTATTTACAATATTAATCACAAATTGTTAATTGTTAATTGTTAATTGATACTTGATCGAAAATAATAATAATAAAAGAAGGAAGTAAAAATATAAATAGGGCAGAAGATTGTAAAATAAGAAAATTTCTGGAATCAATTTACATAAGTAAAAATATAGTCAATTTCAAAACTAATATAAAGGGGATTAAGCAATACTATGTTGATATAATTAATAAATTAGATATTTAAATAAATATAACTAATAATTATTTTTTGGCTAAATTATTATTATTTAGGAAACTTTAAGTAATACAGTATTCTTAATCCTTAGAAGCATAGTAATGACATGAAAGTAAAAAAAAAAATATTTTTTTTTTATAGGTTTACATAATCATATTTAAGCACAAGTGTTATTCATTAATAGTGATTGTTTAAAAAAAGATATTGTTACATAATATGATATTAGTAATATTGTTATTAATGTAACAAATATTATAGACTTGAAAATGGGAAAAGTTGCCCAAAACGTTATGAGATAAAAAAATGAGAAATAATTGAAATCAATTTTTGTGAAGTATAAAGGGTTTGTTAAAGGTGTTACTTCCTTGGAATAATAATATTATATATAAAAAAATGCTAGAAATTAAAAATAATGACAATAAATTATAAAACAAAGGCCATTTTAATGAGAGAGTTGATATTACATTAGAACTCATATATTAACTCTGAAATTAACTGTCACAATATATAAAACATCGTGTCTATTTTCAATGATGAACAATGTTTCACAGAATCTTTTTTTTAAATATAGTTTCCAAACAGCAGATCTTGTAACATCTATGATAGCTATAGCAGAAATTGACAAACTTAGTGACCATAGAAATATAATATTATTAAAAATATTTTAAATGTTTACCTTTAAAGGAATATTTACATAGCCTATCATTTCATTATCATGTTTTCCTGTCGATGCTGTAACAGCTATTTCTTTCATCAATTTCCTTAAACCTTTAATACCTTGCACACTTGTAATTTTAGTCATTTTTTCTTTAACAGTTTCCGCTGGATCGAAATCCCTAAATAAATAACATTATATTAATTTGATGAACAGAACAAATTATTTTTTATTAATATAACATATTCTACTTACCATACTTCTAAGATTAAAACATCATCTGCAGTACTTTCAACTGGTCTAAAAATGTTTTTTCATTATTAATTTCACAAATTAGTAAATGTAATTTTATTAAATATTATGAAATGCCTATTAATTAATAAATTGATTATTAATATCATCATAAAGATCTTATTAGTTATTAAAAAAACTATAATGTAATATTTTAACAAATGATAAAGCTGTATAATAAATGATTAGATGCTATTTTCAATGTAATAGTATAAACAAGTGATAAGGATGGAATTTTCAGAGAAGAAATCCATAAGACGAATTTCCAATTGATTAACACTATAATAATTGTTTATTAATGAAAAATTGTACTATACATTTAAGTTGTAATTTCAATTAGATAAAGATGTCTAAAAGTGTGCATATATTTAAAAATGAATAAGGATATTTCTCATTGATTCTTATTTTATTTGTTTTAATTAAAATATCCTCTTTTTTTGTTTGTTAAGTATTCTCTTGTTTGTTAGTAAATTTTAAAAGCAAACAACAAGTATTCTTTATTTGTAATAAATTATTAGCTAAAGAATAGTTAACATGAAGAATACTCATAGTGTAAACCAACAGTTATTTATACTTTTCTTAATTTTAATCCAGTAATATTCTGTTTGACAATGGAAAGACATCACATTAAACTAGAAGTTGACATTATTATCGTGTGGATGAGTAGACAAGGATAAGATAAAGTGGATATCACAGATGCAGATGGCATCTCCCAGAGTGTTGTCTCCTGGGCTTTAGCCATAGGAGACCTGTTAGTGTAACTCAGTGTCATAAAGACACCAATAGATGACAGAAATATTGTTTTCAATGCAAGAAACAAGCCTCTTCTATTGTCAAAAAGAATCTTTTGCCAAGGTCCATACCAATATAAACTATTCGTAATCATTTGTGATGATACAAATTGCAATTTTGATATATTAACAGAGGAGTCGTGTTTTTGTGTTTACAGTGACAGTAGGGCATCGAAAAGTCTACCCAGAACAGGGGATGAGTACAATACCACAGTTTGTGTTTCGTTCATGGCAGACTGGAGGTGGGAATGTGATGGTATTGGCTGGGATCTACTTAGGAAGATGGACTCTACTCCATATTGTGAAAGATAATCTCATTGCTATTTGCTATGTTCAAGAACTTATAGAGGAATATATTCCTCAATCTGGGGCCATAATTAGCCCATATTTCCATTTTCTTGATGAAAATAAGTGACCTCGTAGGGGAAAACTTGTTCATCAATGTCTTGAAAATCTGGATATTTCACATCTGCTGCATTTTCCCAAGATCTCACATTTAGCACATGTGAAATGCACTGCACAGGCTTTTTGACCACCATCTGCAGTTCCTTAACCTTCAGCAACTGAGAAAAGTATCACCATGTTTCTGGGATGAAATTTCTTGTGAAATCAGTGACAACATTATAAACAGTATGCCCAATAGCTGCAGGGAGGTCGTGTGTGACAAAGGATATGACGCTAATAATAGATTTTATAAGACTTTTACAATTTCCAATAATAAAAACAAGATCACAAAAACATTTAATTTCAGTTGTTTTTTAAAAAAAAAAACATTTTTAATAAAATTTCCCGAGGTCAAATACAATCTTATTTGTATTAATTTTCAATGTATTTTATAATAAAATGGAATAAAAGTTCTTGGTAGAGTGAACCTCATACATAACTAACAATATTCCTATTCAATTTTAAGCAGTATATATATATATATATATATATATATATATATATATATATATATATATATATATATATATATATATATATATATATAGTAATAATATAGTAATGTAGTAAAACTTTTTCAAGAACTTTTATTCTATTTAATATAAAATACATGGAAATTAATTAGTTTCAATTAGTTTCTTCTTAAATGATACACTGCATAGTTTTTAAATATATACAAAATGCTTGTGTGTGTATATATATATATATATATATATATATATACACACACATGAAACATAATCTCATTGTAATTTGCTATGTTCAAGAACTTATAGAGGAATATATTCCTCAATCTAGGGCCATAATTAGCCCATATTCCCATTTGCTTGATGACAATCTGTGACTCTATAAAATATTAATATGTATGTATGTATATATATATATATATATATATATATTAAACCGATCATATATATATATATATATATATATATATATATATATATATTAAACCGATCATATATACATATATACATATATATATATATATATATATATTAAACCGATCATATATACATATATACATATATATATATATATATATATATATATATATATATATTTATATATATATATATATATATATTTTTTTTTTTTTTTTTTTTTTTTTTTTTTTCCCTACGTGGTAACCCCACACAAGGATCGTTTATTTGATTTTCCTTCATGCTCCATGCCTTAAAGACATACTACATGAATTACATTTGTTTACAATTGTTTTTTTTTCTAGTTTCACATGATTTACATTTTTAGTTCAAATTTATATACATTAACAAAAAAAAACACAAAGAATAAACACACAAAAATTAAATCGGAAAATTAAATATTAAACACACAAAGTCAATCCAACAAAGCCAAAAAGAAATCACCCACGCTGCCCATCCCTGGTTAGTAAGTCGAAGTCGATCGATCTAATAAATCTAAGAAAGTCTGTCTTGAATTCAGTAAATAACTTTTGTTCCGTCTCAGGCCAATTTCCTCTTTTGATAATTATGCTTTTTATTAACTCAAACCGCTGTCTGTCAAATCGTTTACATTCATATATTATATGTTTAAAATTTTGAACCTGTCCGTCTTCATCACATAAGTCTGTTTGTATAATGTTGAATCTTTTAAGATATTGTTTTGTATTCCCATGTTCCGTAAGTACTTGCGTAAGTTTGTAGTCATTACTGTGAATGTGTCTGTAATTGTGAATTGAAATGTGTGGTATAAATCTGTGTAAGCTTGGTGACTTAGCTGAGGTCACCCATATGTGATCCCATCTTTTGATGAAATCCAACTTTAAATTCATATCAATATACGATAAAGGAGCTTGATGATACGATGGCGGCAAATCGCTTTTAGCTGCTTCTTTTGCAAGGCAATCGGCTCGTTCATTGCCCTCAATCCCACAATGTGCTTTTACCCATTTTAGAGTCACTACTTTACATATATATATATATATATAGATACAGAGTTTGATGTCCTTATGGCGTTACACTGTTGGGGCTGTCAGTGTGCTGCCCGGCTTGGGGTATTGATGCTCAATTAAAAAGCTGAAGAGGATCCCATTATTTATGTTAAAAAACAGGGATCGAAACGTTTGAATATATATATATATATATATATATATGTATATATATATATATATATATATATATATATATATATTATATATATATATATATATATACACATTTTATATATATTTAAAAACTATGCAGTGCCTCATTTAAGAAGAAACTAATTGAAACCATACAGATTAATGCAGTTTAGTTAGGAGGAAAATTTCAATTTATCTCTCTACTTCTATTAATCCTATATTTACATATTGTAATATTAAGTAGTTTAAGAAAAAAAAAAATTAAATTTATTTAGAGTTATAAGTTTGAATCATACTCACAGAGAAAAACATTCCTGCCATAGTGGGTTTAATGTTTCAGGTTTAACTGAAGTGTTATAACGATGAGTAGATTTAGATGTTAAATATAATGTACAAAAAGGATCACTAAAGCCTGTAAATAAAAAGTATAACTTTTAATGAATTATTATATAAAATTATGATTAATATTCTCAAATTGTAAAGTAATCTCACTGTGTAATTAATTTTTTTCATAATGTTATAAAGTCTACAGCAATTTTATTATTAAATGAAATGCAAAATTCAGCTTTGTTAAACATAACCTCAGAGAGACTCAGACTACTTTTGTAAGGGAGAGAGAATATCCAGAAGAAGAGAGCTATTGTGGAGAAGAACTGATGTTTCCTGAAAAGTAACAGGGTTTTCTCTATATTCTTTCTCCCCTGTAATAGTTGTGCTAAGTCTCAAGAACAGAGTATATTGAAGTTAGATCATGTCTTAGTTACTATGTTAGATTATGGCAACTAACAAGTTGCCAGAAAGTACCTGGTCATACTTATTTTTTCAAGACAGCTAAACCTTTGTGACACAGGAATTTCATCATGGCATGGAAGAGCTAATTATATTTGGAAAGTTGATCTGGCAGGTGAAAATGACCATGAAAAGCAGCAAATACCTTGTGCTAATAGGCCAAGATCTTCCCAAGGAAATGTCAAACCTGCTTAAACCCCTATCTACACAGTGATTCCATATGGAGCAGTCCACAACAAATGTAAATGAAAATCTCGATACATATGAAAGGAGAATCTGATATACTGTCCAATACTTGAGGGAGATCCAGCCAAATATGCACCAATTAGAAACTCTGTAAGGGGTACCAAAATATTAATGTGGTAAAGTTTCTTAAGCTTGGGAGAATACATCCGGCCGATCATATAGGAATGATAAAAAACTGAGATTCCCAAAAGTTTTAATAAAATAGTTCCCATATTGCGCCCACAGAGTTGGAAGGCAAAAAGCAAGTTTGCTGGATGGAGTGGCAGTAGATGGTAGAATGCTTCTTGACAACCAAAATTGGATTGTTGTAGCACAAGACACACTCTGTCTTGTGAATATCCACACTGGAGAATCAATAATGGATTATTGCACCATTATTATTATAATAATCCATATTTTGTTACTTTAATAGAATGTTTTTCAAGCACTTGATGTACTTATAGATGGTGTCTTCATAGTAGTTAAACTCTAATAATTTTGCTATTTATACAACTTATAACAACGTTTCGAGCTACTTTGTTCATTTTCAAGTTATCGAAACCCAACGAAAATTCCGTAAATTCCAAATATTCCCATTATAATGAACGGCTATGGGCCGGACCTAATTCCTGTGAAGTTAATCAAATTATGTTTTCCTGTCATCTTTCATGTCCTACTGCATATCTACATTTTTTTTTTTATAAAATTCCAGTTTCCCGTCAGCTTCGAAAAAAGTTATTGTCCGCCCACTGAGCAAAGTTCCGGTTCCCTCCAAAGTTTCCGATTTCAGGCCCATGTCCATTCTCTCCACTCTTTCAGAGCTTCTTGAAAGACAAGTCCATTAACAGCGTAATATCTTTCTTAACCGAAAGCTCCCCTCAATCCCATCCAGTCTGGTTATCCAACCAGTCCGCTTTGCTGAAAATTTCCCAGGATCTTCACCTCTCTATAGACAAACAGAAAATATCTATCTTAGTTCTCATTGATTTTATAAAAGCTTTCGATTCCGTTAATCACGAAATTCTCGTTACCAAACTCCGAAACCTTTCCATATCAAATAGTGCTCTAAAGTGGTTCCATTCTTTTTTATATCAAAGATCCCAAAAAGTCATCATTCCCAATAAAACACGTTCCTCCCCCCTCTCACTAACTCTAGTGTTCCTCAGGGATCTTCGCTCTCTCCAACTCTTTCCCTCATCTACATTAAAGACCTTTCTGATTCTATCCATCATTCACAATACCATTTATACGCCGACGATCTCCAAATCTACCATTCCTTCCATTCTACCTAGATGCTTAAGGCGATCCGAAGATATTGTCAGTATTAATACTGGGGCAGTGAGCAAGGATTTAGAATTGAATGTTGCGATGACCAAAGCCATTCTCATTGGTTCCAAACATCTGATTAATCTCATTCCTTGTTATCCACTACTGTACCTCGATGGGATACCCATACGTTTCCACACTTTCGCAAGAAACCTTGGGATAATGTTTGATCAACATCTGTCCTGGAATAATCACATTTCTCAAATTATCCGAAAGTCCATTGCTACCCTGAAACAGTTCCTGAGATTCCGTGACTCTAAGCCTTTTAAAATCCACCAGCTCCCAGTTTCCTCTCTCATTTCCCCCACTTCGATTATGGCTGCCTTGTATACGGTGGACTGTCTGGTGTGCTTGACATCAGATTAAAGAGACTAATGAATTGTTTCATTAGATTTATCTTTGCAGTCCACAGTTGCAATGCCTAGTTGAAGTGATTCTATCCAGTTTTCCGACGGCAATATTTTCTAGCTGTATTCAATTTCCGATTTTGTTGAGTTCTTTACTCCTTGTTCCTCTGTTCATTCGTTCAAAACGAGATCCCAACCCTCAAATCTGTTTATTCCTACTTATAAAACTGTTTCCATTAAAAAATCATTCGTCATACGTGCTACCTCGTTTTGGAATTCCCAAACTAACTTATATACGAAAATCCTCATCCTTGACCTCATTTAAACACGATTTACTTTTCCATCTCCTCAGTAATCAATCTTCCGAATATATGTAAAAATAATATTATTTTGTATTTTAGAGATATCAGCCACATTTTACTGATATCTTGCAGATATTTACGTATTTGCCACATTGCTTTTTTTTTGTAAAAATACTTGAAATCACTGGTATCTTTAAATTAATATGTCTACTTCAAGATCATATATCTACTACAGTGTCTTTTTTAAATTTTAATATTAGGGTTAGACAAGTTTGTAAATTAATTTATTTTTAATTGTATTCTAATGCCAGATAATTGTCATTTTGTTGTTCATAGTTAGGGGACTAAATCTCTCCGAATATAGTTCGCTTTCTTCTTTTCTTATATTATAATTTAAGAAATACAGTTCACAAATATAAAAACCAAATGTTTTTATAATACTATTAATTAATTTTTAATTATGGTTTTATAATAATTAATAATTTTACATAATAAACCAGAAAATGGATTTTTATTTGATTTTTTTAATATAAAAGTTCATACTTTTATACAATGTGCATACAAATAATTAATTCATATAATTTTTTATAAATTTGAATTTAACTAAATAATTCAATCATTATTATATACAATAATGCTTCACAGCAGTAATGTACTTTCGTAAAAAAGTTAAAAGACCTACATTTGTTACAGTTAATGTAAAAATGAACTCACCATTAGCATCTTTAGGAGCTAAATCCCTTGCTTTCACAACTTGTACATCAAGAACTATGTTAGGGGCCTGGAAAAAAAATTGATAGATGTAAGGTATTTTCTGTACTTATAATGTATTGTAAAATTATAATAAAACATAATTATTTCAAAAGATCATATATATATATATATATATATATATATATATATATATATATATATATATTTTTTTTTTTTTTTTTTTTTCAGTTGGCACTACAGACTGCGAGTCAGGTTTCCTAGACCACATCCCGATTCCCGATTCAAAGTACGGTATCAATCCTATGCCGGGTCGGTGTGAGTTGCCTCCAGTAGGCTGACGGACTCACATACTCGGAGGGGGGAGGAGGGGAGGAATCTCGGGCATCGTGACTCTCCTTGGTGGAAGGTCACCCATCCCAGTGCTAGCCATGCTCGGTGGTGCTTAACTTTAGCCCGCAAGGCTACCCCAGCCCCATATATATATATATATATATATATATATATATATATATATATATATATATATATATATATATATATATGGGGCTATAATCGATTTTAACTTTATCGAATGTTTCGGGCATACAAATCCTTACTACATTCACTGATTTTTTGGGGATCCCTTACTAAAATAGAATATTGTATTCCTTCTGGCGGTCAATGAAATCAAAAGCTTTTTCTAATCGATATATAGCTCTAACATATGCCGTAAAAAAAATATTTGATCAATAGTTAAACGTTTCCATCTAAATCTGCATTGGTGGTCTCTATTTACGAAATAAAATTCCCCGATCGTGACGATAAATATATTAAACAAACATCACACTACCTCTCTAGAAGAATTTATACACATGAATATAGCTGTATATATATATATATATATATGATATAGCTGTATATATATATATATGATATAGCTGTATATATATATATGATATAGCTGTAGGTTTATAAAACTCTTTACTAATTATAATACTCTTTTATATGATTTTTCCGAAAAGAAAAAGATCACATAAAAGAGCATTATAAAGAGTAAAGAGCTTTATAAACCTACAGTTATATACAGGATGTCCCGTAAGTATTAGTAAATGTGTACAGGAGTAATAGCAGATCTCAAGAGCTACGAAAAAAAAAAACATATAAAAAATATGTCAAATTTCAGCAAAACAGTAGGAAATCTAAGTTTTGTGTTTTTTGAAGTAACTCGTAGTTTTTGTTGGATAAGAAACGATAACTAAAGAAATCTTTTATTAAAGTAATTAACAATTGCTACCCTGTAAACTAAATAAAATTTAATTCAAATTAAATTAGAGTTTGTTATGTTTTAAATCCTTTAAAGGAGGCTCTTGAGCGGCTAAATTAAGCTGTTTTAAAAAAAAATTAATTATTCGCGTTTTTTTTTTTTTATAGTCATCCGATTAAACTGTAGATATCACATTTTTAGAAAAACTTCCTCCTTCAATAAGCAGTAAGTCAATATTAATCAAGCTGAGGTCATTTCGGCAAAAATTTGAGATCTCAAGTTGTGTAATAAAATTATGTTATTTTCTATCCTGTCACCTACACGTAACAATGTTTTCAGCAAAAATTACCATAATTAACTATAGCAAAGCTTCTATTTCTTGTTTTTTCATAATCTGATATATATTTTAATAAATATAGTTGCCTTAATACACTTTTTATTTATAAAGCTAAGAAAATTAAAATAATGGATTTCCAAATATTTTTCATCTGAAGTGGTTATAAAACTGTGCTCTTCTCTGTCAAAGGAATTGATCTATATTTATAAGAGACAAACTTAAGGTTTATAGCGCTAAAATTTAAAAAGAAACCTGCAGATTGCTTCAATTATATTAAGGAATAAGTAAATATTACGGCTACAAACTTTGTCAATTATAAAATTACAAAAGTACAGCACAATTATAAAAAAAACATCAATATGGTTTCATACCCCCACATGGTAAATTTTGAACTAATACTAAATTAACAGCAACCAATAAAATTAATAAAATAAGAACACGTATAATATACTTCTAAATATGCTTGTAACCAAGATTAAGGAAGCTCTGAAAAAAACAAAAAAACTCGACTCTCTTTTGTTTCCTCTGGCTGATTACTAATTCATATTTTAGCATGTGCATCTACATCTTATATCTCTTGTATCTTGACTATCTTTTCTTGATGTTTAGATGTGGTATGTCATAATATTGTATATAGAATAAGTATCTTTTTTGTTATTTTTATTATCTTTATTATCTTAAATATCTTCCTATTTATCTTCAATTCTATATAGTAATTATGTTTAAATTCTCTCTTTTCCCTTGTAAATTATTTCTTTTTATTGTACATAGTATTAATTCTGTAAATATTTCTTTCTTTAAGTAGATCTGTTAACCTTTTTTGCTGCTTTATCAAAATATCCAACCTAACCCCTTCTTACCTGAGCTAGCATGGTAAAATAAACGATTAATCATGGTAAAATAATAGGTAAGTATTTTATATTCTCTATAATTATCTCTTTAGAAATGAAAGACTAGTAAAGCCAGGCGCCCAACAAGTAAAAATTCCTATGGAAAATTATATTCATTAAAAATTGTTTTATTATCTTTTTATTTATCCTTTTTTTTTTTTGGTCATATGCTGTCTAAATCATGTTGATTTTAATAAGAACGATTAGTTTACTTTTGACAAATCATTTTGCGCGTATATTATGTTTTTGTGCTTCCTATACCGATCATTTCTAGAATCGAATTTTTTTATTGCTCCTTTTCAATATCTAGAACTTATACATCATCAAAATCAAATTTATGTTTGTTCTTGATAGGCAATCAGAAACAAACTCGGACTAGTGGCAAAGGCCGTTTTATTTTTATTACTTTAAATGCTATATCCATGTGTATAAATTCTTCTACAGAGGTAGTGTGATGTTTGTTTAATATAATTTTATTTCATAAGTGGAGACCACCAATGAGAATTTAGACGGAAACGTTTAATTATTGATCAAATATTTTCTTTATGGCATATGTCAGATAAAAATTACAGTACAACGGTTAGTGTTGCCTGAAATAGGTCTTGGTCTTGCACTTTGCTAGACCAAAACCAAGGCCGCCTAACAGTTGCAAAATCAAGACGAGGACTGGTAAAAAAAAAATCGATTTTTTAAATAAAAATTAAGGCAAAATAGTAACTAATACTCGACAACTTTAGTTATTATATCTTAATAATTGGTATAACCAATATACTCTTGCATGTAACTCCTCTAATTTTTCATTCGGGATTAGTTAGGTTTCTCCTATCTAAAAAAAATACAGTAATGTCTCTAAAGAAATAAGCTAATGAGTAACTGCAAGACTGTTTCGAGACTCTTGCGCGAGACCAAGACAATGACCAAGACTGAGTTTGCAAGACTCAGTCTCGGTCTTGCATTTGGGTAACACTAACAACGGTGTTGTTTACGAGATTTATATCGATTACAAAAAGCTTATGATTCCATTGACTGCCAGTAGCAATTCAAATTATATTTGAGTAAGAGATCCTCAAAAAATCAATGAATGTAATGAGGATTTGTATGTCCGAAACATTAGATAAAAATAGAATCGATTATAATTTATCCGAGAAATTTGAGGTTCATTAGAGCTTAAAGGTTGATTCCCTTTCACTGCCCTCTTTGACTTGGCATTAGGACATGCCAATACAGAGATGATACATACCGAAAAAGGTTTGAATCTGGGTAGAACAATATCTCTGGTTGGGTATGCTGATGAATTGGAACGGTTAAGCGAAGACACGGAAACAATAAAACTAACTATAACAGCGTTAATGAAAGCTGGTAAAGAAGTGGGTCATGAAATAACTACGGACAAGACAAAATGTATGATTAGCAGCAAATAATTCGACAGTTGTGAGTTACAGATGTTGAAGGAAATACGTTTGAACACGTATAGAAGTTTAGGTATTTAGGATCTACGATAACATGAACAAACGAAATTGAAGAGAGGGAGTTGCGAAACTACTTACCTTGCGGCTGATGTCCCGGAACTTAAAAATTAGAATTTACAAAACCATTATTCTTCCTCTTTATTCGTGGTATGAGCGAAACGTGGCCGCTTACATTAAGGGATGAGCAACATCTTAAGGTTTTTTAACATAAAGTATTGTGTAGAATATTTGAACCTAAGGGTGATTCAATCAGAAAATGTAGCCGGTTACTCAAGGCTTAATTGTGCAAACTGTATCCGGTTAATATAATTGAGATGATAACGTTGCGGCGAATAAAATGGGCATGTATAATTACTGGGCTTAGTAACGAAAGAGTTCCTAAGAATTTAATATACGCAGTGCATACTGGTAAGCGTTCTAGGAGTAGACCGAAGCGAAGGTGGGAAGATTGCGTTAATGCTGATCTGGCGGGGTTGGGTTTGGACGACTCCCATGGTAGACATCGATTGGTAATATCGGCATCGAACCTTTGGGTTCACTAAGCCCTATTCTTATTGTTATTTCGTAAATTATGTTTGAAGATTTGTCAAGGTGATTCAATGCTTTAGCTGGGATAAAAGTGTTTTTCCAAGACTCTTATTTCACTAATATGTTAACATTGTGGCCATGGAAAATTCTTTTTATTTTAGTAGCTAATATTTTTGGAATTTCTTAGAGGAATAATTGTGTGGATTAAATCGTCTATATTGGTAAAACCAAATATAATCGACTCTCGACAATTCAAAATCCAAGAGACTACAAAAAAAATTATATTATCGAATTATCGAGACTTCGATTTATCCAGAAGTTTGAATTATCGAGAAGAAAGAAGAAAAAATTCGAATTATTAAGTGTTTTTATTATATTTTTGAGAATATGTATGAGCTTACATAAATTGTATATATAAGTAGCTTCATGTAAAAAATGTTACTCGAAAAATTATTAAGAGGGGAAGAAGTCTACTTCGAATTATAGAACATTCTCTCCCCCCCACCCCATCCTTGTTACGAAAAGGATTTCGATTTATCGAGCTATCAAAATAAAGTATTTTTTTTTTTTTCCATTTACCGAAGTCTACAGCTGAAGAGTTCAAATTGTAGAAAAATTCGAATTATCGAGAGTTGACTGTTAATATCACTACTCTACAATTTCACCTCTCTCTATTCTATAGAGATAATAACTAAAACTTGAAGTGTCAGAAATTGAATAGTTGAATTCAGTGAATTTAGATTTTCAACAATTTTGTCATAAGTTTGATTTGAACTTAATTAAGTATTGTTTCTGAAATTCTGAAAAAAATTCTATAAACCAGATTTTTTTTTTGTAACCGTTTCTTAGGCCCTAATCACAAACAAATATTGGTGCTCTGGTCGAATTTCACTGGAAAATAAACAGACATGAAAATAAAATGTAGATATTTTTTTGAAATATTCAAAAAGAAATCCTCTTCATTCTAGTGAAATATTGAAACGTAATATTTATTTATTGTGATTATAATTAATCCGCAATTTTCATTCCTAGATGTTCAAATTCCGTTGGATTATTATCTGGTTCTCCCTTGAAATTTGAGTTACGGGAAAGCCTTGTTAAATTATAGCATGGTATTCTGTACGAAAAACAAAATGCGAAAAATGTAATGTTAAAGTAGATATCTGGGGTTGAAAATTCATTAAAAACTTCCATTTTAACAGTTCCCGTGAAACTTTTTAGGAAAAAAAGTTCCATATCTTTGGTAAAAGTTTAACTATTATTTATTCGATTTCATAAAAAAAAAGTTTCGTTAAATGAAAAATAAACAGTATTTGGATTAGATCAGAGTTACAATTTGTCTTAAATGAATTACAAATGATTCTAATGTGTCGTTTGTTCGAGTAGCTATGAATAAAAGACATTTTTCAGCTCCACTTTTCAGCGAAATAGACGGAATTTTTAAATAAAAGTTTTTTTAGAAATAAAAGTTCTGTAAAACCTTTACTTGAAAAGTTGCAAGGAAAAAAGTTATAGTTATAAAAGAACTGAAAAAAAAAACTATCTGCAATAAAAGATCTTGTGATACAGAAATATTTTAAACATATAATTTTTTTTTTTTTTTACATTTCAGGCCCTTGTACATATTACTTGGAATCAGAGATTGGTAAATGCGGGAGTACCGAGTAGGAAGTATTTTACTCAAATTGAATCACTATTGGGAATTCAATGACTACTTAAGTAAATCGTTTGACATCAACTGAAGTATTAATTAAATTTCTTGGTGCTCAAAAAAAGGTCAGTATTTGTCCATCTATGCTTCAAATACTCATAATATGGCATTTGCTCAGCCAGACTAGCTTATACAACACTGTGCAGTACTGTATAAGGAAAAGAAATAATATAGATTAGTTGAAAAAGTATAGTAAAAATTATATTAAATTAAATATTATTTATTATATCATTATATTATATTATATTATATTTATTATATTGAATATTAAATTGATTTTGGCATGAAAAGAACTAATGAAAAAAAATAAATAAATAAATACCAACTCAAATATAAGTTGGAAAATACATGCATTACCTGTTTTTTCTCTGCTTCCTTGCATGCCGATTTATGTTTATCATCATCAATCTTAAATAAATTCTTGACGTAGCCGAAGAGTGTATTTTTATCGACTGAAGCATCAGCGCCAACACTATGAAGAATTTCATAAATGACTTCTTCATAAAGTTCATCAATCTGAAATGAAATTAGATGACTTAGACAATTTGAACAGTTAATAAAATAATATGTATCCAATTATTAAATAGCGAAACCAAATAGTTTAATTACGCAAGTCAAAATTGTATGTATTAACAACAAAAAAAATGTTAAAAGAATAGTAGAAGCTCGAAACAGTGATTTTCAGGCCATGGATTTCTTTGATGTCGAATTTTAGGTTTTTAAGTGACTAAGATACTTCCCCTCAAAAAAAAAAAAAAATAAAATAAAATAAAACAATAACAAAAACAAAAAGGTATGTGCTTAAACCACATGATATAAGTGAAAACACCAACAAGGTGGTTAATATTAATAATATGAAATATAAATATTTTTACTTTCACTTAGATATGTCTATATGTAATATATAGTAAGGCAAAGTATTGCGATCGTGAAAATTTTCGAATCTGAGTTTTAAACGGAAAAACACGTTTTGAGGTCCCCTGAGTACAAATAACCTAGTCCTGCAAAATGGTCTGTGTGTATGTGGAAAAATGAAAAGTAGCACGAAACTGAAATTGTGTATTTAAGATTTTTATATATTTCCAATTTGACAGAAACATTTTCGTTAAAATCGGCTAACCGAAAGTACCACTTTAGATCAACGATAAAACACATTTTTACAATTTTCTCAAAAAAGGTTCTGACGATTTTGATTATTCTCGGTGTATCATTGTATAATTAAGTGATCTTTAATGTAATTTAGGTATTATCCCCATTGATGTCACTTTACAGGGTTTAAATGCCAAATTTTCATATACGTCTTCCTTTAAAGTACCTTTAATATGGATTATTTAAAACAATTAACACTCTTTTATTGACAGTGGCAATACTAAAATGGCTAAAAATGAAGTTTGAAAGAATATGATAATTGGAAAGTGGAGAAAAAAAAAAATGCTTATCCAGGTTAAAAATTAATCTCCGGAAATAACAGTTAGAATGTATACGTATAATATATCGTTGGAAAGCGTAGAATTTTAAAAAACACAAAGAAATAATGTTGTAGATGGTAACGAAGGCTGTGGAAGGTGAAGAAAACAATATAAAAAATAATTTCGGAAAACTAACATTATTTAATGTAAATCACATATTTCCAAGGAAATTAAATGAAATCTTCTTACTAAATATAAACTTTTAATTTTTTTTCTAAGTTTAAAAAAAATTATTTAAAATCCAACGAATCAAGCCAATGCCATTGTTTAAAATACTATTTCATTGTACTTGTGTGAAGGAAGAAGTGAAATATAATAATATTTCATGGATATTTTTATAACCTTAAATAAATTTACTTTAATTAAATAACTCTAGATATGATATTATATTTAAATAATTAGGTATCTATTGGCCGTTTATTCCAAAAAAATCATCAAGCAACCTTATAGAAAATTAAATTAGTAATAATAATTTGATAAATTTCCCTTTGTGGGATCCCAACATTATCCACTTACAATTAGTGTGAAAACTTTTGACCTATCAATGACAGGCAATAAAAATTTCGTAATATCATTTTAGTAAACTTTACAATGGAAAATAACAGTTTAATAACTAATAGTCCTACAATCCATAATCATTTATAGGTTAAATATTCAGATGTACTTTCAAATCTCTCTAGGCATACATTAGCCTTTCGGTTGACAGAATGACTAACTCCAATTTCAATATTCTTTATTATTAATTGTAGTGATATTTCTTGTCTCAAAATTTATACCTTTATAAATTTACCACAGTTCTATACCACACACTGTAATCACTTCTCTGGAATCAACTTACTCACACTCTGTATATAATTTTTCCAACTAGAAATATCACTAAAACGAAATTGGTCAAAATGTTGAAATTGGAGTTAGACATTCTGTCAATTGAAAGGCTCAGAGACTGAAGTATGTGGTTTATAAAAGCAGATGGAGAAACTAGATTTTTATTACCTATTGTCGATTTGATAAATATACTTTATGTAATTTTAATGCTCTTTATGATTTGTAAGCTTTAATCTGTAGATCCGTTTAAAATTCACTTAATAACAATTATAATAGCCCAACATTGCCAGAAAATAATTTCTATTAATAGTAGAGCGGTAAGTGAATGTTGTGCGCACCAGATTTTTTTGTTATATGTTCACAAAGTAATAACATTTATAATATTTACACTTATAATTGTGTATAAGAATGTGTGACAAGTAATTTTTCTCTTTTTTTCTTTTCTTTTAATTTTTAATTTTTACATTGTATTTTTTTTTTCCTTTTTACAAGTATTTTTCCATTTCTTTCAATGTATATATGTTTACATATATTTATATTCTTATTTTATTTTATTCTTAGCTTGTATTTTAATTTGTATATAAGAATGAATGTAAGCATAGAGCCATTTACAATTATAATTATGTATAAACTACTATTTGCTCAATATTTAAAGATTAATAACATTTATAATATTTACAATTATAATTGTGTATAAGAATGTGTGACAAGTCATTTTTCTCTCTTTTCTTTTCTTTTAATTTTCACAGTGTATTTCCCCTCCCCCCTTTTTACAAGTATTTTTCTATTTCTTTCGATGTATATATGTTTACTTATATTTATATTCTTATTTTCTTTTCTTCTTAGCTTGTATTTCAATTTGTTTATAAGAATAAATATAAGCATAGAGTCATAATACCAAATGCCTTTGATTGCGGCAGGTTGTATTGTTACTATCCAAATAAATCTATCGTTACTATTCAAATAAATCTATCAATAATTGTGTATAAATATTTATACAATCGTATATAATGAAACGTCAATTAGTATGAGACACTAGCGGATCCAGAATTTAATTTTGGGGGGAGGGCTTCAGCCCGAAAGATTTTTTTTTTCATATACATATAACGATAATTAATTTGAAAAAAAAATAAAGAAATTAATTACCTATATGAAATGGTGTTTAAGTGGTTTTTGAAGTCCTATTAAATATAATTCATGAACAAGAATACATTAAGTGATAGTCTTTAATATTTGTTTTCTGTAAAACATGGTTACATTTTACCATTATGGGGGGGGGGCTTCAGCGTGAAAGCCCCCCCGTAGATCCGCCTGTGGTATGAGACAATTATGAAGTATTGGTACTTTTTTAAAAATAAAACTTCTGTAACGGGGGTCAGTAATTTGTCGAAACACTGTCGAGTGACAACAGAAAATGGAATAGAAACAGTTAATTTTTTATTTCTTGTTTTTACGATTAATTAAAAAAAAGTATCTATATTGACTTTTGCAAATTTGTTTCTGAATTATTCATGGTATTTAAATTTTGAGATATTTTAGTCCGAATGTTCAAAACAGTCGTTATTGTTCGTTTTTTTTTTTAGTTATCTTTTTCCCTTACCAACTCTCCAAATCGGCGTCAAGTCAAAATAACATTTTGAATTATGCATTGCTCATTGCAAAGAGGATAGAATGTTGAAAAGTTCTCTCGGTTACACTATACAGGTCGAATTTCAGTTTTTCAGATATTTTAATTCAAGTGGAAAAATTAGTCGACTCGAGGCGACTTTACCCGAATGAGCGTTACAGTACGTAGCACAAAATAAAGTGCTAAGCCCACCTAAAGAAGTTTTCACTTCAATAATAATAGAACTACGTAATACAGAAAATTATAATGTCTGAAAACATAAGCGGTCGACACCAAAGGGTTCTATATAGGTTCTATTGAATCTGGGTGGAACAATATCCGTGCTTAGTTATACAGGTGTATACTGCAGGTGTGTATCCTGCTAAGCGAAGACAAGAAAACAATAAAACTTAATACGACAACCTTGATGAAAGACGGTAAAGAACTGGGACTTAAAATAAATACGGATAAAACAAAATATATGGTTAGCTGCAAACACGGCGACAATTTCGTCGATATCGATATAGAAGGGTATGTTTGAACATGTACTATAGTATAGTTATCTAGGGTCTACGACAACTAGAAAAAACGAAATTGAAGAGGAGATTTAGGATAGGCTGAAGGCGGGAAATGCTTGTTAGTTTTCAAAACTACTTAGCTCGCGCCTCCTGTCTGAAACTTAAAAATTAGAAATTACAAAACCATTATCCTGCCTACGGTTCTTTATGGATCCAAAAAGTGAACGTTTGTATTTAGGGATGAGCAACGTCTTAAGGTTTTTGAAAGAAAATATTATGTAGAATATTCGGATCTAATAAGGATGAGTTACTCGGAGAATTTAGGTGGTTTCAAAACGCCGAACTGCTTGAACTGTATCCGGTTAATATAATTTCATATTGCGGCAAATAAAATAGGTGTATAAAATTTTTAGGCTTAGTAAAAAAAGAATCCGTAAAAGGTTAATAAGCGCCCTGCCGACTGATAAACGCCTGAGGGATAGAGCGAAGCGAAGGTTAGATCTGGTGGAGTTGGGCTTGGGCAGAGTTCAGTGGATAGAAGAACATAGACAGCAAATGGTGATGTCGGTATCGAACCATCGGGTTTGCTAAGCCTTTTGTTATTGTAATACTACTATTTTATATATGATATTTAGTGGTTTCTCTTGCAACGTGATGGGGCTTTAATCGAGTAAAAAAGAAATGCCACCAAAATCTTAACAAAGTTACCTAAGATATTTGATTAATAAAATTGCCTTAAACTATAATTGAGGTTTACTAAGAAGCGGGAAAGAAATTATTAAGTTATAACTACATATCCCTCGATTCCTATGGAAAGGTGGTAACACCACTACCCAATATTTGAAATGGCTCCGTTTGTCCCACCAATATTTTGAATGGTACCATATGTTTGTACCTGTACGAGCAAAAAATAACTCAAAATCTTAAGGTGCGTTTAGACATTTGACAAATTATTTTTTTTTTTTTTTTTAAATCTTTTTATAGAGAAATAATACATTTTGCCACATTTAAGGGCACTGAGTACTAAAGCTGAGTGAGGCCCATTCATACTATATATACAATGCAATAAAAAAAAAATAAAAAGTAAAAATATATATC